AGTTAAAATTTTATATTTTTATATATTTGAACAAAAGTTTGTCTTCCTTTTTAAATAATAATCCATTAGATTAATAATGCCTACTTCTATTTAACAGTATGTTAAATATTTAGCTAAAACTGCTTAGATAAAATTTATCTAAAACTAATCCCTGCCAGATCGGCCTCCCAGCAAAGGACTGACTTTCTGCAGAGTTCACTGCAAACTGATTATGCCTCTTTTTTAAGGCAGTTGATCACAGCTCTACTGCCTGGATTAGAATTGCCCCCAGAGCCATAATGTTAGTGTTTTCCTAATCATGAAGACTTCCACAAGTTTGCTATATCATACAGCTGCATTTTCAAGACTCCGACCTGAGCCCCCCGACAAGTTAGAAAATCTTATTCACATACTCCCTTCTTTGCAATCCCAGTTTACCTTCTGCTGCCTTTGCTTTTTCCAGCTATTGACAGCTGAGCTGGCCAAAACCTCCACCAGGAGACTCAATGTCTTATTTTCAACTGCTCTAAAGTACAGCAAACTGATGTTATTATCAAGGCCTCAATTCCTTCAAATTCCTAACCATAAGTGCTGAGTGACCAGAGGCTTATAGCCAAGGTTTCACCATGAAATATTGGCATTATGTTATCATCCCTAATTATGCCATCTAAAGCTGACATTTCCTATATTATGCAACTCAAACACCCCATGGCCCAAATGTAGAAGTTCTTCTCCTAATCTTGCTATGTTTCTGTGCATAACCCTGAAATGCATCTAGGCAACCAGTAACTGCTGCTGCTGTCTCTGTGAGTCCTCAGTGAAAATGAATCTAGCAGTCAAGTATGGCTGCTGCTTTGCAGTTTGCCTTGGTGTGATATTAGCACCGTGTTTGATATGTGGTGGATACTACATCAATATTTAACATTAGACCCAATGAGTAAACAGATGGATGGATAATCTCAAGAGGCAGGCATTCTTGCCCCTATTTTGTAAATAAGGGAAACAACGCAGAGTGAATAAGAAACCTGACCAAGATCATACTGTTAGTGGTGGATACAACATCTGAATTCAGTTCCACCAGATCTTGTATTACTTATTTTAAATCACATTCTGTTGTGACATAAGAACTTTCTTAGTGCACTATGCCTTGAGTCAGTTGTAAGTAACAATAATTGTGACATTTTAAAATCTAGGCATTGCAGTAGGTACTCTTTGTAGGGTAAAATTGAGTCTGTGCTCATGCTGGAGGGTAATTTTTCTTTTTCTTTTTTCTTGAGGTGCTGGGGATAGAACCTGGGGCCTTGCAAATGCTAGGCAGGAGCTCTACCACTGAGCTATATCACCAGCCAGGGGTGTAATTTTAAACTCTACAAGATTTGAAGAAATCAAGGTCTTGATACTTCTTTTTACCTCATTTCAGACCAGTTAGGAATTGGATACTGAGCCTGCTGGTTAAAGTTTTTAGCTGTTAACGTACTTTGCTGTTTCAAGGTAAAAAGCAGACAGCAGAAAATAAATTGAAATTAAAAAGACTCATTTATGGCTCTAAGATTTCAAGCTGGGAATTTAGTGGGAACTGAATGATAATTTCCAGAGCACTGTACTAGGTGCTTTATAGACATCATCTTAGGTAAAACTTTCACAAATCTTGAAGTTTGCATATGAAAAAACTAAAAAATCAAAACTTTTAATTGCCCATGACACACAAATAAGTAACAGAATGGGGACTCATACATAAGACCAAATAAGTTACTTCTCTACTAACTAAGCAGCCTCCAAACAAAATGGGAATGTGCACTATTTCTTCCTAATATTTTTCCTAACAATTTCCTATTCGGGTTTCAGATTTCTCATTCCACTTCAGCATTTTAGGAAGTGTGATAGTTGGATATATTCAATAGTGTTATCACTGCTCTGTAGTTCTTCTAGAGTTGTTTCCCCTTGATAACCATGTCCAATAGCACTTACAAATACTTAGAATCATTTTTATATCATTCTTAAGGGATCTACCTTGTAAGAGAAGTTGGCTTCAGAATCAAATCTCCTTGGTGAGTCCTTAAATATGCCCCACAGAGAAAAACACTTATGACAGCATAGTAATTGCCCCCTGCCAAAGAAACATTCTTAGGAGGGAAAATCACTGTTAAGGTAAAAGCTAAAAGGGAGGTACTACAGAAAGCATGTAACCTCAAGGCTGACAAATGTGAAAGAGCCCCACGTTAGGAGACATAGAAGCAGGAAAGTCTTCATCCTCTCACCCATCCTGAGGCAAGGGGAAGAGGGAGCCATTTCCTTTTGGAAAAGGGAATTCTAAGTACAGCTCTCTTTAAATAGCCTGAGGAGGATTCCTGCCACAGTAGGATTCCAGTTGTCATCAGAATTTTAAAATGTTTAGTCCTCACTTGGTGCGGAAATATTCAGTAATGCCCTTAGCAAAGTGGTTAGCTGACCTATGGGTAGTTTGGATGCTTCTGGAACCATTTGGGACAAAAGGAAGGTGGAGGACATAGTCTCAGCAGTAGGCTGACAAAAGCTCAACATGCAAAAGGATTTTGGTTGTGAATGCTAAAAATTTACTCCGTGGGTGAGTCCTAGGAAACACCTGATATGCTCATGCTCTCATTTTGAAATTAAAAAGAAGTTCTCAACTGACTAACTCCCTTTCATATTTTCCTCACAGATTGCTTTAATAAATTAATTTTCAATAAAGAAATATAGGGGCTTTTTGCATATCTACCTAAGAAAGTCAAAGCCTATAACCTCTTGAATTCATCTAAGCTCTGGATGTTTATTTCCAAATGTCTATACCTCATTTGTTTGTTTAACAGTTATCAATCATTTCAATATTGAGAAGCTTACCATACAGGAAAGCCTTTTATGTTAATTGGGGAGTTTTTCAATGCTATTATGCTTTAAAATAACCAAAAGAGAAAAACTACAACTTACTCTAAGATTTGGCTCTTAGATATCTAAGTTCTGTTGAGGTTATGGTCAGCTAGCTGTAAGAAACATCTAGGATTAAGAAGATCTAGAAACAGAGCCAAAGAGAGTAAGGCATTACTTATATTGATAAGAGAACAAAGATAGGCCAGAGAATTGCTTTAGCAATAAGTATTGCATCTAAGGGTTTCAGAATAACAGTTAACATTTTTTTCTTATGTAGTTAAATTCTGGGTGCTTGTACTAAATAAGGGTTTTTGTACTAAAATTTTTGTTATATTTTTATAGAATTAGAGGTACCAAGGTATAGACTACAGAATTTAATAATTACCATTTTTGCTTAAAATCTGTCTTTTTAAACATTAGATTCAGCTAAAGACCATTCAATCTCCCTTTCCTCGTGATTTTTTGTGAATCACTCCATATTTTTACTATATATTTATGCAATTTTTTTTATCAAACAAGCATTTTAATACTTACCCATGTTTATACATGTGGATCTGGATGATCCACATTAACTTATTGAAGTCCAGTATAAAAATAAATCTGTTGATGCACTCCATGTGGGCTGTTTATACTTTCACAAAGAATGTTGTAAAGATCAGTTTTGTGCATATCTCCTTATGTACAAGTGCAAGTTTCTCTAGGTTCTTTTCTGGAAATGGAATTTCTGGGTCATAAGGTATGAACACTCCAAATTTTACTAGGGATTGCCAAAACTACCTTCAAAATGATTCTATCAACTTAATATACTTACCAGAAAGGTATGAGTTCCTTTGCCCATTTTGAAAATTTTTTCTTACTGATTTTTAAGCACTCTGTTGAAGTTATTTCAATACATTCTTCCAATTTCACATTTCATTTTAATACTATCTTTCAGCATATCTGAATAATAGTATGAAAACTTTAATCAATATTTTCCTTCTAAGTTTGTACTCTAATGTCTTAAAAAAGAAAAACTATGTCAGGGCGGTGAATGCATTTCTTCATTTTCTTCTAAATGTTTAAAAAAATTTCCTCTTCAATTTTATGTTTTCAAATCATCTAAGTTGTACTTTTGTGTGTTCTGTGAATTAAAGAATTTCATCTTTTTGCGAAGAGATATTCATCTTTTAAAATCCATTGTTTCACCACTGACTTTTAAAACTATCTGTCACATTAAAATATGTTTTCAACTACAAGTAGGCCTGGTTTTAGGTTTGCAATTTTGGTTTACTGGCCTATCTGTCCTTCTCTGTTGAAATTATATAGTTTAAATTGCTAGAGGTTTGTAATAATTCTTGATACCTGCTGGGGCAAGTCTTTCTGTTTCTCAGAATTGCGTTGGCTCTTGTTTACGGCACCATTTAAATTTTAGGATTAGCTATATCTCCCATTAGTGTTTTTCTTTTCTTTAAATACCATGTTTCTTAATAATTTGTGGTGAAATGAAGCTGTTTTTTGTCTTGTTTTGTAGTTGGTTTTCACCAAATCTTTTACTTAATATTCCATCACCGATGAACAATAAAGGCATTATTAGGAAAGGGAAGGGAAAAAAATTATGTCATAACTTCATCTAAGGTAGTATTGCTTTTTCAAATTAATTTGTTCAGGTTGAGTATAATGAATCATGAAACATGAATCTCCATATTGTTATTTCTTGTCCTTTAGTAAAGATTAACAAGTTTTCCATAAAGGCCTTAAGGATTTTTGCTAGATTCCTGGATTTTTTAAAAAAAATCTGTTTGATGTATTTGATCTTCTAGGTCACTAGTGTGGCCTATCCCTCAATTCACTATTTTGTCCAAAACACCATGTTTTTAGAATTGTGTGTTGCATTCAGAACTCTGAAGTACACTTTTATTATTCAAGTATTCATTTGTATCCTTCAGCAATTATTATACTGAACACAGATTATATACCTTCCTCTTAATTAGGGGTACTCCAGGGGTGCCAAATAAGGTGCTTCTTGCCCTAAGCTTGGGGTGAAAAGAAACTTTTACATTCCCTTTGAAGTATCTAGGAAGAAGAATCACTGATCTTCCTCTGCTTACTCCCTTCTTACCAGTAAGGAACATGCAAACTTAAACCTCTTGCCTTTTGTGGACAGAAAGACCCTACACCTTGAGATCCTAGGATGGCTGAAATGCCAGCTTTTCAGGGATTCTCTAACCTTTGCTTCTGAGAAGCTGCTCACAGTTGATTCCCGCACCCCTGGGAGAGCCCAGTCTCTCAAGAACCAGTATCTTGGAATTAGAAAGTCATCATCATCCCACATCCACCACAGGTACATTTTTTACTTGTTTTAATAATTTTTACTTGTTCAATAATTTGTTATTGGTAAGAAAAAAAGAATGCTATTGGTTGATGTTTAATTGTTTTGTTTCCAGCTTTGTGGTTGGTTGGCCAAATTTTTAATGTAGTATTCCACTGTTTAAAATACATGAGTGTTTTTTTTTTTTTGAGAGGGGGAAACTGCCAATCCCCAAAGAAATGGCACAAAGGCAAATTATGGACAGCACTATCCATCCACTTTTTAAAACTTACTGAGTGCATGGAACTTTTTTTACATAAGCATCTAATTGGTTTTGTTGGCGGTGGTTGGTTTTTAATACTGCGAACACTGAGATTCATTTAAAAGATAATTTGAAATTGGGTAACATACACCAATTCCTCTCACACTTCTCCCAAATCCTAGTTGATTTGAATGGGCAAAATGATCCATTTTCCATTTTGGATAGGCAGACGTTTGTTTAAAAAAAAAAAAAAAAAAAAGAACTGTTTGCCTCATTTATCAGAAAATCTTTAGGAGAATTTCTACTTTGAAATATAAAAAGACAGCACGCAGGTTCAAGTCATACTTTTAACATGAGCTTGTTGAAAGAAACTTTTAACAATTCCAGAAAGAAACGAGTTTTAACTATTTTCCTCTCCAAAGCATAAAAAAGGGAGAGGAAGTTAACAGGAATTTTGTAAAAGTCAAAACAACTCTTCTTTGTAGTTGTCCTTGGCAGCTACCACAGAACAGGTTCTTCTCCGGACAACAGATTTTGGTTCCAAGTCTGTTACTGCTCAGTATCTGCTCCGGACTCCTCCCCTCTCGGAGCGGCTTCCAAGGCGGCCTCCGCTGGGGGGCGCCCTGCGGGCAGACCGACTGTAGGATTCCCGCGCGGGCGGGTACTCCCTTTCCATGGCAGGGGAGGGCCCGCGGTCCCGGCCCCTCGAATAGCGGTCGCCACGTCGGCCGCTGCCGCAGCCCTCGTGGTAGGCGTCAGGCGACCACCCACGGTACTCGTCGTAGCGGCCTCCGCCGTAGGATGGCTGCGGGTCGCGCCCGGGGGCGGCGCTGCGCGGGTCGCCGTAGCTCTCCAAGGCGTCTCGGTAGAAGCCCACGCTCAGGTGGTCGCCGTAGTCTCGGTCCCAGTAGCCTCTCGATGGGCAGTCGTCCCGGGCACTGGCGTGGCCGTAGTCGCGGTAGATGTACTCTCGGGGCGAGGCGGCGAAATCCCGAGGCACGCGGGCACCCGCGTAGTCTCGGCCCAAGTAGCCTTCTCGGGACGAGTAGCCCCCCTCCCGCGGGCCTAGGTAGGGGTCGCGGCCCGGGGGCGGCTCCCGGCGCAGCGGGCCCGTGTACCCGACCCTTCCCCGAGTGGCCGGGGCCCGCCCGCGTCCTCCCGCGCTGCTCCGGGTCGGGCCCGACGGCGTGGTCCTCTTGGGCGGAGGCCCAGCCCTGCGCGGCGGCGGCCCACGCTTCAGGGGTAGCGGGGCGCGGACGGAGCGCGCGTCGAAACCCCCCGCGTATTCGCCCTCGTCGTCGGGCCCGCCCCGGGACGGGGGTCGTCGCGCCCCGACGCCGCCACGCAGGGCCTTCGAGCGACTGCGGCTGCGGGGAGGCAGCGGGCCGCGCCGGCGGCTCTCGAACGCCGGCTTGGTGGCCTGGGCCACTTTGATGGCCTTACCATCCAGGGACTTGCCGTTCAAGTCTCGGACGGCGGCCTTCGCGTCCGCGGGGCTCTCGAAGGTGACGAACGCGAAGCCTCTGGATTTGGAGGTCTCTCGGTCTTTCATGAGCAGCACCTCGATGATGCGGCCGTACTTGCAGAAGGTGGCCTCGAGCCCTTTCTCGTCGGTTTCGAGGCTGAGCCCCCCAATGAAGAGCTTCCCTGGGCGGTCGGCTTCAGCCATAGCGGATTTCGCGGTCCGCGGCGGCTAGGTGAGGAGATAGCGGTGGCGGCGGGCTGTGAGAACCCGTTGGTCGAGGGCGCCTCCTACTGGTCGGCTGGCGCGTTGCGGAGCCCAGAGCCCCAGATGCCCCTGCGCGGCGGTTCGCGGGGACGGCGTCCCTTCCGGTCCACAAACCAGTGGCCGCTGCGGGTTGTGATTGGCTGGCGTTCCCCTCAAGCTGCCAACCGCCGGAAAGTCGGTTTGGGGCCTTCACCCTACGGTTCAACTTGGACTATTGACCGAGTCGGCAACGTCTTCTTTCGTAGTGCAGCTACTAAATGAAAGCCGTTAGGTGGCGGGAAAAAATATTTCCCCATTCCTCGTAATAAGAATTGTGATATATTCCAAAACTAGTTACCCGCGCCATTTGCAAACAAAACATTAACTGAATAAATGAAATCAGTATTGGTTTAAAACAGTTCGTAACATTTAATAAAAATGCAGTGTTTTTCTCTTCACATGTCAAAAGGAAAGAGAGGCTTGGTGGGTTGGTGAGAGTGTGCAGGGTGATTGGTAAATCCAGAAGTAAAGAAAATCATTTTTGGGGTGAACCGTTGGTTTTCCTTATGTACCATTTTGTCCAGTTTTTCATCTTTTAAAGGTTTATAGTTATATCAAACTGCCCTTCACAAAAAAAGAAAAAAAATGATATAGCACAGAAAGTTGGCTTTAGGACAAAAGGCAAACCGTGAGAGCAGCGGGACCCAATCCCAGTCCCACCTGGATTCTTCACTCCAGCCAGCACTTTGAGCCTGACACCCTAGAACTTTCGGTCCTTGTGCAAAGAGGCAGCAATCTCAGCAAAGCAAAACTTTCTGGGTTCATTCAAACAAGTTTTACAGTTCATATTTGTTCTTTATGATATTCTCTGAATGGAAATTAATGTAAAAAGGATGAACAGCTGTGCTTGAAATAGTAACATTTATATTTTTCTTTACCATATTAATGTGTTTCGGGTCTGTTCAAAATGTGGTATAAATTTTTCAAAGGCTGTTATCAAAAAAGCTAATCATGAAAAGTTTTTGTGTAATACGTATGCATTCACATGGTTATATGGGTTTATGGCAATATTTATAAAAGGTTAATGAAAGCAGGCATTTTAATGGTTTCCAACTTTAATGGGGACACTGTTATGATCTTAAGAATTATTTTTTAACAGGCACGAATGGAAGTTAGTGTTAAATGCATCCCATAACTTCCTGTTATGAACTACAGTGACCCATTTTTATTATAAAAACACGTATTTCAGGGTAAACTCACGTTTAGGATGTATTCATTTTCTAAAAGTAATGGATTTGAACGCTGTTTACAGCATACGTACTTAACTAGTGAATCAGTTTATTTCTGTTTTGAGATTATTTGTATTTTAAATTTTTTCTCTTGATTTGGTTTTTGCAAGATAACTTTTTGAAAATATACATTGCTTAAATTTTCAAATTTTAGTGAAGCATAGTGGTACATGCCTGTGATCCCTGCATTCAGGAGTCTGAAGCAGGAGAATTGCTGTGAGTTTGAGGCCAGCCTGGACTACATAGCAAGACCCTGTCTCAACAACAACAAAAAAATGTTTTCAAATTTTATTACAGCTTTACCCTGTTTTGCCCTCCCACCCCCCCTTTTTGCAACAGTCTTGCTAAAAGTTCTTTTGATTTTTTAAAATCTTTCTGTACATTTGAATAGAACCAGTTTTCAGCTTTGTTGATCCACTGTTCTGGTTTTGATTTTATTTGGTGCTGTTATCTTTTCTTGTTATTTTTGTTCTAATTTTTTAGGTAAGGCTTCAGCACTTTAATAATTATAATTGTTACCACTATGTAAATTTCGATCCTATTTTTTTAAAAAAATTGTTTACTAGAATTTGAAGTCACTAAGAACCGTGTGTATGTGTGTTAATTACCAAGAACTGAGCCATTTCCAGCCTCTTTTTTTTTGAGACAGGTCTTGCTAATTCACTAAATTGGCCAGGGTCACACTTGCCATCCTTGTACCCAAGACTCCCAGAATGCTGGGATTACAAACGTGTGTGAGCCATCATAACTAAGAACTGTTTTTAAATTTCCCACAATAGTGGATTCGTCAATCTTTAATGTCCACTTTTGTTTCATGTAACTTAATGAGATATAAAAATAGAAGTTATGACCTCTATTTACGTATACATTTTTATAAAACTTAAATTACTAATGTACTAAAAACCCTAAAAAAATCATCCATGTATTAGACCAGTAGTTTGCTCTTTTTAAAAAAAAATTTTAACATTGACTATTTCAAAATTTATTTTTTCCATTTTTCATGAAAGACCTGTTTCCACTTTGAGCAGTGATTTTTGTTTGCTCCAGTTTTCAAAAATGTCCTCCATCCACTCAGTCCAAAAGTGCTTTGGGCCCAGGCCCCAAACTACATCTGGAATCCATTCACTTACCTACTGGTGTGTTACTACCTTCATACAACTTTCATGCCTGTGGTGATATGTGCGCACATAAATCATGCAATTAGCAAGAAATCGTCCACCACTGGATTTAACAGTTGGTGATCAGGAGATGAGGCTGATGGAAGCAATGTGTGTTTTGTGTTCATTTTTTAAAGAAAACTACTTTAAAAGTGGTGTGGAGGATAGAGTAGGATACAATGAGAAAAACCAAGAAACTAGATAGGAAATGACTGTGATAAGATGGGAAAGCAAAGATCTTTTCCATTTGGTTTTCACTTATTTGTCCTTTCACTCCAAAAAAGTGTATTGATGATAGAAGGATACTGACAGTTGTACTGGATTTGCCTTACGTTTTCGTCTTTAAGATTTTCTTCCAGGCTAAAATTGACGGAATTTGGAGTGAAGTAACGACTACCATAAGTTATTTGATTCTATGCCCATCTAGAATTAACTGCTCGAGTCTGGGCTGGCCATTTTAGTAAACAACAAAGAGAAATTTGTGTCAGCCTGGGTCTAGGTCCATCCCCCACTTCTGGAGGACTCAAACCCAGGGTTGTACGTATGCTAGACAAATGCTCTACCACTGAAACTAAAGACCCAGCTCTAGGCTTAACCTTTTAAGAAACTGGCAGTTTACACTTGGCCTTTGTAACCTTGAGCCCCCACCAAAGAAGCCCATCTTCCTTGCTGGAGAGATCTTGTATAGGGGGTGTCTTGGATGAGGGGTGCATCTGAACCCAGTCTCTGCGATTCTTGCCAAGATGTCAGGTGTGAGAGAAGAGTTATGTTGGAGCCTCCAGAGTAACTTGGCTGCCAAGTGAATATCACCAAGGGACCTCCAAGTGATACCATGTGGAATATAAGAAATGCTTCGCTGAACCCTTTGACTTCTCATTTACCAAATCATGAAATTTCATGAAAAGGTTATTAAGCCACTAAGTTGTGGGATGGTTTGTTACACAGCTTTAAGTAACCAGAATTGTCTTTCATAGAAAATTTTATTGTGCCACGTTCTTGCCAAAGGGAGGAGCCCACTTTTGGCTCTAACCCCAATAACATTTTATCCTCTTAAAGAAAATTAAGACTCCTTGGCTTCAAAAAGTGTATGCAGAAGGGGACACTCATTTCTACAGAAAGTAGTGATTTGCAAATATTAATGTATGTAAGAATTGCTTGGGGAATTAAAATGCTGGTTCCCAAGTACCTTCACCCAGATATTCTTGTTCAGTAAGCCTGGTATGGAGCTGCATTCTAAGATAGACAGCCAAGTGATTTTGACACCCATGGTCCCAGAACACACATGAAAAGGCATTCTAATAAGATGTCACAGATGGTGAGGCAGTGAACTAAGAAGCCATGACAGTGCGAATGAGAAGGAAAACAAGGTATCTGAATCTTCTCTGATCCCATCTTCTAAGTCTTTTCTAAGCTTCTACATAAGTTCTTAAACTCTTTTTTCAGAGAACTTGGTTTTTCATTTTATTTCAGCCTCTCAAATTTTGTCAAGTAGAATGGATGTTTTATGGAGAAGTGACTAACCTGTATCTAATAGATCAGGTGCAGTTATCTCTGAAAATGGAGTAATCATAGAAGCCGAGAACCGAAGTCCTTGCAACTCTAAATTTTTATTAAAGGGATATAGGTTTTTCAAATCATAAATACCACCACCAGGACCACCATTCTTTATTATTATAAGAATCATCAATGGCCAAGTTCGGATTGCTAACTCTCACAGCTTCCAGCAGCCTCTGGGCTTCCTTATCAAATGTATCTTTCCACAACCTGAGAAAACAAAAAGGAACATGTTTTTTCCTGCACTCAATTTACCCATAGCCTTCTACTTTTTCAAGAGGAAAAAACCTGCCAAAATAGAAAATATTAACATGAATGGGAAGTGGGAATACAGTGAAGGCAGTAACAGAAGAGGAAAAAGGAACATAGAATAAAAATACATTAAAATTAAGAGGGGGTCTTCAAAGAGCCTTCCATCCAAACAAAATAGTAATGATAATGATGAAATAGATAGGCTATTGTTTATTATTCTAAGCACTGTTATAAGTACTTAACCTATACTGACTCAGCTATGCTCACAATAGTGCCATAGGTGTATTTTTATCATTTCATCCATTAGATAAGGAAAGGAAAACCCTAATGGATTAGGGAAACAGACTAAATATTAGAAAGAGGTAGGGATAGAATTCAGTGAGTCTCACTCTGGAGTGCCCAACTCTGAACCACTACACTGCATTCTCTTGTAACATTCAGTATTCCAGGATTCCCACAGAGCCACAATCAAGTTGATTCTGAGACCAACAACTGAATGGTTCCCCAAATCCCTATCCCTCTAGAAACCACTCAGGACTTACCCTAGAACTTGTAGCTTACATTCCGTACACCTCAAGACTTCACATAAAGTCCTAATTCCTTCACGGCCCAAGGTATTCTGTGTTAGGTTCATTTTTACCAGCCTTTTGTTGCTGAGAAGAGCAGAGGAGAGATCTTGACAACATAGAGAAGTCAAACCACAGTGTTCCAGCCTGTAGGGAAGAGAAATATAAAAAATGACTTCATCTTATGACACCAAAGATACGATCTGTGGGCTTAGAGTGGAGGATAATTGCAGAAACTTTAAAAATAAACAGGGTAAATTCAAGGACCACAAGTACTTATAATATCATTACTAGGTATTTGTAGGCTGAACATCTCACTTCCTGTCATAAATTATAGTTCAGGGAATAACAAGCATACTACCAAATACTGTGACTATGAAGCTGGTGAAAGCCTTGAACTAACGATCACTAAAAATGCAGCAGCATAGATTTTTAGAAACTTGGTACTGAGTATAATACCATTTATGCAATATAAAAGCACTAAAAACATTATATCTTTTACAAAGATAGTCAGAATTCTACAGTATATTTCAAACACATTAGATCAGTTGCCTACACATGGAAGAATGGTTAAAGAAATTAATCAGTTGACCAACCAATCAAAGGTCCTTCTAAAAGCCAGTGACCATATAAGAACTGAGGAAGTATGTTAAACTGTAGCTTCTGCACCTGATGTACCCTCAACCCTTATTTGAATTTAATTTTCACCTTATATTCACTTAGTCATTGAAAAATTGAGTGTCTGTATAGGTGCTGAGCATATAAAACTTTTAAAGTTGCTGCCCACAAGAATTCAGGTTAATGCCAAAGTCATATTATGATACAAGGTACATAACTATCACAAGTGCTACATCACAGTGTGGCTGCTGCATAATGGTGGAGATGTACACAAGAGGGAGATATCACATAAAGACAGGAGCCAGAGATGCTCAGGAGCTAGACTCACTCTTTATACCACTGCTGAGAGAATTAGCCAGGGTCCTTTGATTACTACACTGAGTTACTTCTGAGGATGACACCCCCAATGACCTAAGTACCTCCCCACTGGTAAGAGGGTCTCACCTCTTAAAGGTTATGTTACTTTAACACTGCCATACTGGGGATCACACTTCTAGCACATGAACCTTTGAGGGATATGTAATATTCAATCCCTAGTATATTGCAACCTACAACTCTTCATATTCTGTAAGTGTACTATGGAACGTAGAAAATCTGATTATATAACATATGGTCTGAAGCAAATGTCAAAGCTAAAAATATTAAAATCATGCACAATATATTGTCAGACCATTATGGTAAGATTAAATATAAAAAACATATTTAAAAATTGAGATTTTAAAATAGCCAAAGTGTACAAGGAAACTATAGTAAGGTACATTTAAAATATTTTATATTAAAAGGAAAGTATCTAAGCACCTAACTCAAAATTTAGCAAATAAATGGTGAAGTAAAAATACAAGAAATGATTTTAAAAATAGAAAATCAACAAAAGCATCGTGTGTGTTCTTTGGGAAAAAAAATACAACGTGAAAAGGCTCAAATTACCAATACCATATCAGGATTGAGAAAAGAACCACGCTATCTATGATTTAAAAATTGAGCAGATATTAGAAACTTGCCAATAAAATTGGGTGAGATGGATAAAATATAACTAAAAAGTTCAAGAGAAGATTTAAACAATTTTAAAAATTGAATCAGTTCAAAATAATCTACACAAAAAGGAACTAGATATCTTAAGAAACTTTTACAAACTTCAAGGAATAATTCCAGTCTTACCAACTTACTTGTAGGAAACTGAAAAAGGAACATGCCTGAACTCATTTGGAATTATTGTGATTTAGATACAAAAATGTAATGACTACACAAGAAGGAAATTATAAGCCAATCTCCATTATGAACAATGATGCTTACTTATATATTAATTGATACACAGTGTGTATCAGTTGGTTTTAGCCCCAGAATACAAGATTAGTAAATCAATGTGACACAAACATTTACAATAGCATTGAAATATAATAAATTAAAGTTAACATACAGGGCCATTCAAGGAAAATTTTCTAAGCTTTATTGATAGAGCTAAATAGGCACAGCAAAATGAAGGGTATCAAAATGAAGTATCAAGAGACTCACTGATAGACTCAATACAATTCTAATCAAAATACCAATATTTACATAGGTTGAGGGAGGTACATGTGCATGTGTTTAATGTGAGAATTTTATATTTAAAGTTTTAGAAATTGAATGGAAAAAAGATCCAAAATTATCTTGAAGATGGGAAGACTTGTCTTAGTTTTTAAAAATTATAGAGCTATTATTAAGAGTGCATTAATTGTACTTAAGAATATAAAGAAGCCAGTGGAAAATAGAAAACCCAGAAGCAGATCAACACCAGTTAAAAATGTGACCTGTAGCAATAGCAAAGGTATTCCTGCCAAGAAGTGAGGAGAGAAAAATTTCAATAAGATTTGATGAAAAAATATGAGTATCTGTATAGGAAGAATATTAAATTGGACTTTACCTCTAATCATATTTTCTTTTTTGGTACTGGGAATTGAACTTGGAACATTGTGGCTGTGAGGTAGGCACTATGCCACTGAACTAAATCCCCAGTCCCTTCTAATCATATTTTTAAAGACAGATTAAATACCCCAAAGCTTCATGACTTTACTATTTAGGAAATAGAATGTAAAATGTAATGTGTGGGAAGTGAGTTTCTGTGATACTATATGTAAAGATGCTTTTGTCTCTCTTCCCTTGATCCTGCTGGACTGAAGATTTTGGTGCAGCTAAATGAATTGACAGCCTCTGGGATGGGATTTTGGAGGAACAGTAGCAACAGTACTTGGGAAAGAACACCTTAAAACCTGTACTGTACAAAAACTAGGAAGAACAATTAATGTTCTCATTTTCTCTCAAGATCCAACACTGTAGTCTGGTAAAAATAATTTTGTGCTTTATATGAATCAGGCAGCAGCTGCAGCTGCCACCGGACCCGCTATTGGGTTTGTCATGCCCATCTACCTTCTATAGAAACAAAATCTTATGCGGACAGAAGAGGTCTTGAAATAATTTTCTGTCCCTGATGCCATCAGTGACAAGGTAATCAATGACAGCCTCAATGTAGATCCTCATGTGTGTGCAAATATGACCACCAGTACAATTTCATTTAGGCTGAGACAAATTATAAGCTTGTCCTGATGAGAGCAGCCTTTGGTAAGACCATGTAAGGCCAATGAGGCAGCTGTAACTACCAGTTTGACTACCTGGTGTAACCAAACCAGCTAATGGGGACCCAAACCAAATATAAGAGAATATACCAAATTAAGAGTGTCCTGTGCACCTCTGGTTTATATATTTTTAAAAGGGAACAGTAAACTACTGAATGTCTTTTTTTCCAGAGAACTTGGGTTGGTTTTGGCCTATGTTTTGTCCTGTTTAGTGTCACTGATATCAAAGATCAGCAGTTTATTCTTAATTCTTTTGTGGTAATAACAGACAAGAAACCTGTTAATCCTCCTTGAGACTTAGTTGGCCGAGTTCAAGACTGTAGGGTCATGGCTGAAATCAATACAAGTTGGCCTTCTCTTGTTCTTGCAGTATTACTGATCATGGCCATAATTAAATGGCACTTGAGATTAATTAAACAGATCTGGTCCCAGTCCACTCATGGTCATATCAATCAGAGTGGCCAAATTTACCCGAATGCAAGACTACTCTGGGCAGACTTTTTTTTTGGTACTGGGGATCGAACTTGGGTCCTTGCACTTGCACAGCAGGCGGTGAAACCACTGAGCTAAATCCCCGGACCCCAAATCCAAGACTACTGTGTAGAGACACTGGGTGGATACTGTTAGGAGGTACTTCCATTGGTCTTTCACTCTCCTACACATTTTGCTAACAAAACAGCAAGACTGACAAATCTCCCTGGGCCATTTCCCAGACCCGTGCATGTAAAGAGCAGCCTTGAAGTACAAGGTATTATCTTTCACTAGGAAAAAGAGGCAGCTTACTTATCACTTGTTGTTATACAATGGAATGATCAGGCATCCATCTGGGCCCTCCATGACAGCCCTGTGCAAATTGGGGGACAAAGGAAACTGACACAAACATGCTATGCTCATGCTCTATGCTATAAGTAATAAAGTCCTTTGTCTGATAGTAATCTTGTTTTCTGCCAGCATCTATGAAGCAGTAACAAGCTCAATTATATAGGTTATAAGATAAAATTAAATCTCAGACCTAACAGTTAAAATACGATTATGATAAAAATTACATAAATAGCCAATACAAACATAGTAATGGCAGCACTTTCTTGGAAGAGTCAGGGACGATTTTTCTAGATTTAAATTCCTGAAGGTTGGAATATGTGTTTGAGCATCCCACACATACAGCACATTCATGTTGTGTAGGTACCAGCCAGTATCAGTTCAAAAGTAAAAATTTAAATATAGGATTAAACCTAAGTAGTACCCAGAACGGGTGAGACTTTATTAAACAGCAAGATCCTTGAGAATATACCTAGTATTTTACAGATACAAGATAATTAGTAAAATCTTTAATAAGAAATATTCAAGGACAAATGAAATATCTAAAGGAAGACAATATGGAGGACACAAATCAGGTGTCATTTATTGTGTGTGTGTGGTATTAGTAGGGAAACAAATGTGAGATGCGGCTCCTATACCAAAGAACATGCAATATATTGATCCATATACTTGAAAATTCAGATTTCTTAGAGTAATTTGCCTCCTAGTTCCCTTTTTCATTCTCTTTCCACATATGAAACAACTTCTGTTTATACTAGCTACCAAACAAGAATCATTTTCTTTTTAAAAAACAACTCACCCAAGCCTCTGAATGTTACACTTTGGATTTCTCAAAGCTTCACACAGAATTTTCACTCCTTCATCCCGCAAGTCATTGTACCCAAGGTCTAGGCTTAACAGGTTTGGGCTGTTCAAAATAGCAGAAGCCAGATCCGGACAACATGCAGTAGTGAGAACAGAGCCTATCAACCTGCAAGAAATAGAAAAATGAGCCTGACAATTGTGAGGCTTAGTTTCCTCCTAGGAAGGCTGCCCAGGGATCTCTTCTTGTTAGAAGCCATGATGTTAACTAAGAAAAGCATAATTTTGTCTTTGTTTACAGCAATGCTAAAAGGTGGGCTGAGAAGGACCTTGAGTATACAGGTTAAACACTATCTCGGTAGCTGAAATAAAGGTATTAGATTTCATAATAATCTCTATAAGTAAAACTTTGTCTTCTATTTGAATAATGATCAAGGGAATTTCAGAGAATCACATACTACTCCATATATACACATACACTTCCCTTAAGGAACTACAAGTGCTTATTGGATTAGAGAGTTCAATTTTGGTGTTTACAGATACCACAATAAATTATCAAGCTTATTTGGAAGTTTGGTTGTGATGAGTCAGTTCAGTCAAGACAAACACTTCTATGTATACCAAGGCACTTGAGTTTGTAGTTTAAATCCCTTAATGACTTACCCATGTGACTAGTACCATGGGAGGCCCTAGTGGAACAGCTGAAATTCCTACCACTGTCTTGCTTCACTCTAGTCACAATATTTATAGTGAAGTATGAACTAGTTATTAATATTTAAAATATTTAAATGTTTTTCTGAAATACCGTCAAGTAGAAGGAAACTAAAGTTATGTCTACACAATAATCAATGATGTAGATACATGGACTATGCATATGTTTACTCAAAGACCAAGAGAGAACATAGGAATAAAAACAGTTGTAACCAACTCCATGCAAAGCATATAAACAGTATGTAGTGCAAACATACTAAGAAAAATGAGATTTAAAAAAAATGGTTGCAAGTGAAAATGGCCATAAGTTACATTTTTGAATCCTTTCCAGTTATTTTGAAAGTTCATTTAATTATACAACCAAGTTTAAACTAAGCCTGAACAAAAAACTGGCACAGTTTCAGCTGGATGGATACAAAGTAGAGAACACCAGTAGATTTACTAGGGCACAACCAAGGCAAAACTAATATGGCTCCTAGTCAGCCTGATGCTTCTGGATCTTTACCTAAGGGAAACTGGTTTTAATTGCTATAGTGATTCTTTTTTTAAAAAAAATCTGATGAACAGACTTCCCCAGCTTGTCTCAGGCAGAATGAGAGTCAGTTCTATATTCTTTTGATATTCCATTCTCAGTCTTTCTTGTCATGTCTTCCCTGCCCTCAGACAATTTGTAGTTGAAACTACCCAAAAGGAGTCAAAACACCTACTCCAAGTCCTGAAGATTACAGCTCGGCTTCCGAAAGACATTACACAGAAGATTTGCTCCATCATCTTGAAGACAGTTTGATCCAAGATCCAGATGTATCAGACTCTTGTTGTGTAGAAGAGAAGTTGAGAGGTATTCACTGCTAATTGGAGTGAAATGGCAACACCTCAGCCTACGGGATGGAGAATATGAGGAAAGACTGGATCATTGTTCTACTGCCCAGAGATGTTTATCTTTGAAAAGGATTTATATTATGATCCCCTACTACTTTGCCAACACTCCACCTAAGATCAGACACCCTAGTGGCCAGCCTGTCTCATATGACATACTTAGGTCTACATTAAATTGATTACAAACTAGATTCATGTTCTTCAGAGCTTTTGTTATAAATCAAATATTACCCTCTTTTACACTGCACATATATAATGCTCTGTTGCAGAAATAGCTACATGGGATATAGCAGCAAGAAGATGAAGTAGGAGTAACCATAAGTACTCTTCATATAATAAAAGTGGCACTTTCAGTCAATAAGGAAAAGACATACCATTAGTGATTTTTGTACAACAGATATATAGGGGTAAATATATAGGCAAAAATATAAGCCTTATGAGAACATTTGGAATAATTTAACATGTAAATTTTAAACTATAAAGAGTATGAATGGGTAACAAATGGATATTTGAAACATATTCCCAATTATGGTACTGCCTTTAGAAGTCGTGAGGAATAATCTGACCCCAAATTTTTAAACTTTTATATATTTTGAAAATGACTATAAAGTTGTAATATGTAAAAAATAATAAAAGTGATATTAATAATTATAACATATGGCAGATAAAATCCAGAAAGAAAAAGCCTATGAAGAAGCAATTTCTAGAATATAAAAGGCCAAAAACATTTGAAAAGATGTTCAGCATCAAATTACTTCGAAAGTTAATCTTCACCTATCTAATACTGATCAGAAAGACTATGGATACCCAATGAATTACTAATATTGAGGCCCCCCCCAGTCCACTGTTAGAAATATAAGTAACCTATCTGGAAGGTAATTTAAATACCTCTGACAAAAACTTTGGCACATCAATTCATGTCTAGAAAAGTACCTAGCAAAAATGAAAAATAACCACATTGTGATCTGGCCATACAATGGAATGGTATTACTTCTGTTAAATAGTATGTATTTATTTGCTTTAAACCCAGACTATGGAGTTGGATAAGTGGCACACTCAGCTCTGAATTCATTTTCTCATGAGACACTAGGGAAGTTACATTACCTTTCTAGGCCTCACTTTCCTGACCTGTGCTGTGAGGCACCTAGAACTCAGGTGGCAACTTGACACCATCAAGTAGTGTGGTGCAGATTAAGTAACTTTAGCACAGGGTTTAGAATAAAGACAATAAGTGGCAGTTATTAATGTTATTAATGATAATGGTTTATCATTAAGGGGAACAATAGAGAAAAAGCAAAATTTGTTCCTGATAGGTCTTCACTTGTCTTACCCTGGTATTGCAGAATACCCAAGACTTGGCATTTATAATGAAAATAAATTTCTCAGTCTGGAGGCTGAGAGGTTTAAGATGAGGGCTTTATCTGTAATGACCCTCTAGCTACACCATCCCATGGCAAGAAGCAAAAGGGCAAAGGAGCATGAGTGTGTGAGAAGGGGGACCTAACTCATCCTTTTATCAGGAGTCACTGCTGTGATAACCCACTCCTGAAATTGGCATTATTTCACTGCCCTTATGACTTAATTACCTCTTAAAAGGTCCCATCTCTCAACACTATACTACATTTGGGGATTAAGTTGCCAACACATTATCCTTGGGGATAGTAACACTTGAAATATATTTCAAACTATATAAATATTGAAAGGATGAAAAATAGTACACACTTACACAAGGCTCTGTAGAGTACATTCTGGATGTTTCAAGGCAGCACTTAAAAGCTTTATTCCATGATCTCCCACTTTGTTGTTTGACAAGCATAAATGAGTCAGTCTCTTATTGCTAATAAGAGCCAAAGAAAGAGCCTCACAACTAGCTTCTGTGAGGCCACAGCTTTCTAATCTGAAGGAGAAACACATGGGAAGGGATTCATGAATTCTCATGGCTTATACCTCTCTTCACAAGGAAATCAGCTGGTATTTATAACTCCTCTATTTCTACTATAGAACCTCAACAAATCTACTTAAACTGAATTCCATTGCAGTTGTGCATAGAGGGTATGATGAAATAAAGCACAGAAATAGAAGGTTAGAAAAGAATGAAAAGGTCAATCAGAAAAACAAAGGAAGGGCTGAGGGTATAGCTCAGTGGTAGTGGAAGGATGTGTCGAGTTCCATCCCCAGCACCAAAAAAAGAAGAAAAAAAAAAAGGTGAGGTGAAGAAATATAGTGTGTATGGCAAATTCATGCAGGGCTGCAATTCATTTAGTGTCAAGACCCAAGCACTTTCTGTATGCAAATCACAGCTTAGCTATAAACAACTGACTCACGACAGTCTCTCTAGGTAACACTCTGGGTGTCCTAATGCCTCACACAACAACTTCACTCCTTCATCCAGTAGATTATTGGTCGATAAGCTCAAAAATACCAGGTTCTGGCTTTTGATGAGAGCCTTAGATATGTCAGCACAACAAATTGGAGTTAGGTTGCAAGACTCCAACCTGGAAAATATAGAAAAACAAATGACCGCATCTCAGAACTACAACCACCATGTACTCAGCCAGAGTGTAAAGATCTCCTAGTTTTGGGAAACTTCCCTGAATATCCAGCTTCCCTACACAGAACAAATTATTTAAAGTGTAAGGCTCTGATAAAGAACCAGAAGAGGAGAGAGGGAAACTTGTCTCTCCCATCTCCAACCTCCCCAATTCCTTAATGAAATTATGTATGAAAGCATCTTAAAATACCTTCAAATGGTAATTTTTTTAATCTGGGAGGAATTTCCTCCAACTAGAACAGAGGATGGAGAGACTAACTGTTCCCTTGTACACTGACTTGTGGAACAATAGAAGTGGACATGAAATTAGAGGCAAATCAAGTTATGTTTCTAAGGAACCCAGTTCTTAAGAGTGAAAATGAAGTAAATCAGAAATAAAATTCTTTCTAAAAATAAAGATAAGAAGGGAAATAGGAAAAAAATACATGTAAAGACATTGTAAATACTTGTAGAGACTCCTATTTAGGAACAATTTGTACTTTGTACATGGCTGGAGTGATACTAGCTTTGTAAGTGATATTAGATTTGTAAGAAGAGTCAGGCAGCTGCAACATTTCATTCCTGCCAGCTGGATTTGCTCCAGGTATTTTCAATTAAGGATTATCAACTTGAGTCTCCATAATCCAAAGTACTGGCATGGTTATAAGAAACACAAGGAGTGGGCATATACACAAAGGTCAAGTGAAGACACAGGGAGAAAGCAAAAGGAGAGAGGCCCCACCAGAAACGAATGCTGCCTGCACCTTGCTCTTGAACTTTCAGTGTTTTGCTATGGCAGCCTGAGTAAACTGAATCAAATGGGTACTATATCAGCAGCCATACAGGTAGTTGAGGAAACAAAGGAAATCTTGGCATTGTGTTTGGATAGAGTTCTTCTAGACTCTTCTAGACAGATAAAGATCTCAATGTTATGAGACCTGTGTATGAAAAGCTTTATAGAAGGACATTATACTAAACTAGGAAATAGAAGAAACTAGGAAGATTTGCTGTATATTTTCAATGTATAGAATTCATTGACTATGAAACAACTAGCATATCACAAGGAGAGACACAAAGGGAGCAGGTTTGAGGTAAGTGTAACAAAATTAAGAAAATTTAGATTTGAAGCAAAACATAAAAATCAAATTGATAAATTTGAGAGACTCTCAAGAAAAAAAGGAAAAAAAACTTAAAATGACCAAAAAAATTGAGAGCTAAGAAAAGTTATAACCAATGATCATTGGATGCTCTTGAAAAATCATAACAAAAGAGGAAAAGAAGAAAAATTTTAATAAAGTAATCATTTGAGGAGAAAATTTAAAAATGGTTGCTAACAGTTCAAAAAGTAATTTCATGCAAAAGTAATGAAAAATATGCTAACATCACCAAGGATAAAGTATTCAAACTCAGGAGATAGAGAAGGAGCCAGGGGGTTGAGGAGCCAGGCTATTCTTAAGACTTTAGAACACTAAATGCTAAAAAGTAACATAGCAAAGTAAAAATTCTGAGAACAAAGTGGAGACCTAAATCTAGGTAAGTTGAGCAATTGAAGGACATAAAAAGTCAAACTATACCATTCATATACAGTTCATGGAAGTGTTTTAAAAATCACACCAGGCAAGAATACAATGAATTAAAATTAAGGTTTTGTATAATGCAAAAGCCAAGTTTAAAAAACAAACTTGGCAGTAAACAGTGACAAAAATTAAATTTGAATTAAGTCTAAATAACTATTATTTTCCATGATAAAACATCGGAAAAGATTTAAAAGTGTCCAAAATATAGTCTTTATAGTCTTTATAATCTCAGGTTAGCATACTAGAAATTGTGTGTGTACATACAGGTGTTATAAATGACAAAATCTCCTTGAATTTAAAATTTCAAAAATATATTTTGGGGAGAAAAATCTAAAGGATAATTAGTAATCACTGTTAAAACAAGTATTACTTACGAATTTCTGGACACACCTGAACACAAAACAAATGAAACAAAATATATCATTTAAGAAAAAATACAAACGGTATTGCAAACATATAAGATGCTTTTAACTGCATTAATATTAACTGCTTGATATCCCATTTGTTCATATCATATGTTTGGGTTTCTCAGGATGTTTTTTCTTAGTGTTTACTAGTATTAACAGCTATGGGATGTTCTAACTCCTGATGAATGAAATTTCATCCTTATTAAAATATTCTCTTTTGCAACTGCAATATATATATATATATAGCATTACAAGTCAGAAAATATTTTATAAGATTTTTCTGTCTTACTATAACTAAAGAATCATACTCATATTTTAGAAATTGCTATGTCTTGTAAAAACTACTCTTAAGTTTATAACTTTGTCATTTAATGTGTCATTTAATGTGTCATTTATAACATTCAAATTAATATTTATAAATTTCTAAACTTTACACATATGGAAATGACCTGTCAAGTCAGGAAAAAAAGTCATTGTTACTCTCATCCTTAATAAAGTAATAACTGAATTATGGTTTGAATATAATTTGTCTCCTCCAAAACTCATATTAGGGTTTAATTGCTATTATGAGGTATTAAGAGAAGGGAAATTTAATCTATGTGTTACTTCTTTTAATCCATATGCTTAGAGGTGCACCCTTTGGGAAGTGATTGGGTTAGATAAGGTCACTGGGAGGATAACTACTACTTTTAGATATGAAGCTGCAGGGACCAATAAAATCAGGCTGAATTTCTAGGACTTTTGGCTACTAATATGTTTTCTTTGTGAGATATAAAAACCAGTAGTTTCTCACCTGGATCTCAGAAGTGCAGGTTACAGAAAATTCCTCAAAAGATTCTAAAACTCTTTCATAAAACATAAACTTTACCCTAACCTGGCCCACTAACAAATGCACTCAATTTTCAATTATCCAAAAACTCTGCAAACATGATTGGTGTCAAGTAAATTTCATCTTGTAAAAACTGGTACGACTTATCTCGCAATATCAACAAATTCATCTGCCTACTTTTAAAAAGGTCTTGTTTCAGATTTCACTTACTGTATTTCTCCTACCCCTGAATGTAACCTGTTTCTCAACTTGACCCTTGACACATCAAAGTTCAGTCTTGACCCCCTGAAATGAGTCCAGGAACTTAAAAACTTCTAAGATAAAACCTATTTTAACTTTTGTTTTTTCAGAAACAATTTAAATGATTCTCACTGGAAAATAGGATCTTTGTTTAAAATCTGTCACACAATGTTAGGACCAAGTATGACTGCTAAGCCTGTCATTCAGAGAAAGAAAATCAACCAGAGGGCAACCACTGAGAAGAACGCATAGCAAGCAAGCACCTTGGCAGTTGACAGCTGCCACACTGTTCTTTCTCAACCTTCTGGCTTTTTACTGAGTTACAGTTGTAACTTGAGGATTCACTATCAAAGATCAAATAAAACTAACCCTGCCCCAGCACTGTCCTGTTATCAATGTGTCCATTTCAATGAACATTTAAAGAGACAATAAATATATCCCAGCACTGAAATATGAGAAATGTTAAATGTTTATAAATTCTTACTCTATTCTTGTTTATTCCAGATTTAGGAGATAAGACCCAGAATTATACAAAGAGAAGTCTTCAGTGGAGGATGCTAGGAAACAGATGACCTGCCTGAAGGAAATCAGCCCAGCTTTACTGATCCCAGGGACTCCATATCATCAAGTAGATTTAAACTAGCTCTAAGAACACCAAGTCCAGGCTACAACAGTCTATTGGACAAAGATCTCAATTATAATGAAAGACTCAAGACTTACCTCAGATTTTGCAGTTTACATTCTGGGTATTGCAAGGCTTCACATAATGATTTTATTCCATTATCCTCTATCTTATTCCCTTTCAGGTCAAGATACATCAGATTCTGCTGGCAAGTCAAGAAACTAAAGATATCTTGATAGCCATGAGGGAAAGAAACACACCTCAACCTTAAGAAGAAAAATTTGCAGAAGGATTAAAAAAATCATCCCTTTCCCTGGCTATAGCATCCTTTTCTTTTTACATCTAAATCTGGGATATTCTATGGGTATTCTCTCATTTTCATCTTTTTTTTTTTTTGGCTCTGGTTTCTAATATCCCAGGTCAGGTAATAAATCTTAATGTCAGGTTATTGCATAGAAAAATAACCTAGTTACAACTCTGATTTCTGTTTATATTCTGACACCCTTAACTTTCCTTAAAGCAAAAAAATCATAACATCTAGAAACAGAAAGGAACCTCTGAACTCAATTTTAGGAATAACCACCAAAATTATCAGACCCATTCCAAGTACTCTGATTACATTAATTCATAATAGTATTCTTTAATCCAAGTTGACAGTTAACATTGACTATTTTATATGCATCATTAACAAAAAAACATTGTTGCGAAATATGTCCTGTCATTTTATGGACAAATATTAGGTGTACTGAGGCTGTCCAAAGCAAAATATAAAATTAAGTCTTTCAGTATTTCTTCCAATTTATATTTCAACTCTATCAGTGTTAGAAACATCTGATTCTTCTATAGTGCCTCCAATGTCTCCAAATGCAGTCTATTCACATTACCCATTAACTATTCAAAACCTCTCTTTACAATATTACCTTCTCCTCCCTTGTGCCTACTACTATTCCTCTTCTACCATTCTCTCTACTTACAGCTAAGAACTCATGAGAAAAAGCTTTTATTACCAAGCACTAACCATCCTCATCCCATAAAAGTGCCTAAGGTACATGTAAATATAAACTGAAAGCCCTGTCTCACTTGTTGGGGAAAAAAAAGAGACGTGAGTGAGGCCAGATGAAAGTGGCAAAGACTACAGTCACCATGGTGATATCAGTCTGAGAAACACATATTCTAAGAGGAAGCCATTTATCTCAAAAGAAGGCATCAATCAAGATTTGGACTGATGACAATGAAAGGACAATGTAGGGGGATGTTTAGGGATGAGTGAAAATGACTTCCAGGAATCCCTTAATCACAGCATACAGTTGCCTCACCTTATCTTCAAGACCAGACCTACTCTAGTTGCTTAAATCTAAGGTAAGAATTCACCAAAAATAGGAGATTCTGATGGATTTGTATCTTCAATGATGAAACAATAGCCAGGGATTTAGCTCAGTGGTGCTGTGCCTGTCTCGCAAGCACAAGGTCCTGAGTTCAATCCCCAGTACCAAAAAAAAAAAAAAAAAGGCCAAAAAAAAAAGAAAAATAACCAATAACCTATCATTTGTTCAGCAGTTAGTACATATTACTAGGTATCAAATGAACGTTGGGCACATGACTAAATACAGAGGAAAGTAAAAACAGTTCCATCCCCTAGCAGAGCCAACAGAAACAGCAAGAGACATGCAAACAAGGACACTTTAAAGAGTATCTTGAATCAAGATTAATTTGGAAAGACTGACAACAGCAAATATTGGTAAGCAGAACGAGGAGCTGGAATCTTCACATATTGCTACTGGTACTATAAAATGGTGCAATCACCTTGAAGAACTGTTTGGTTATATCTTAAATAAAAGATACATTTATGAACTAACAATTATATCCCTACATATTAGCCCAAAAGATGAACACATGTCACAAAAAAGACTAAATCTTTTCACCAAGATGGAGCTGAAAGTAAAGGATGTTTCTGCCTCTCCCAAAGCTGAAGCTAAAGCAAAGGCCTTAAAAGCTCAAGAAGGCAGTGCTGCAAGGAGTCCACAACCACAAAAAGAAAACCACACAACACCTACCTTCTGGAAGCACAAGACATTGTAAATCAAATAGGATGTGGAGAAGCTCTATAACACACTGATGTTATCTCCCAGATCAGGCCTGACAGAAGGTAAATATGCTCGACTGGTTCCCTCCTGATGCATTGGATGTTACTAAAAAAATTGTGGTACTCTAAACTGAGTTCAGCTGGCTGACTTAAAATACACATTGCTTTGAATATTTCCTTTTCTTATGGTAAAAACAGTTTTAGTCATAATAGCTAAAAATTGGTAAAACTTCAGGTGTCTACTAATGAGAACAAATAAGTTATAGTATATTCATACTGTCAATTGTTAATCAGTAAAACTGTTGAAAATTCAAGATAAGTTTTTTAAAATATTGAGCAAAAGACACAAATAAACCTAAGTGACTTCTAAGAAGATGAATTGTGATGACAGATTAGAAGATGATTACCTCTGAGATTGTGTAGCATGACAGGACTGAAGAGAAAGGGGTACAGGGAAATTCTGATAAACATTATCTTGTTTTGGGTGCCAGTTACATAAGTGTCATTAAATGCACACTTAGTATCTATACATTTTGTTGATGTTATTTCCAAGAGAAAAAAAAAATCAAGGATAGTAAGTTCCAGAACATGTCTTTGAAAGTGCTTTGTGGATCTGCCTTGAGTATCTTAGCTCTGTACCCTTTATTCCTCTAAAAAATTCCTAAGCAAGCCTCAAAACCCCACTTCAACAGCTACTATAGTCTGGAATCTTTTCTAGAATGAGTTGGCTGTGCTTCATGTCTTCAGACATTTCCACTATTCATCTTCTTAGAGTATTTTACGTGATAGATTTTAGGTACAGTCATGCATCACTCGATGATATGATTTGAGCAATGTATCATTAGGTAATTTGTCATTGTTCAAACAACAGACTGTACTTAAACTACTATGGCTATCAGGTCACTATGTGATATAATCTTATGAGATAGCTGTATTGCATGACTATATATATTTACTGTTGATTTCCCGTGACTGGTATGAGTGGAAGGTAGAAAAAAGGTCAGAATGAATGTCATTCAATTTTTTCATGTCAGACTTACAGGAATTTTTGTAGTTTACAGTTTGGATGTCTTAGTTCTTGACAAAAAATCTTCATTATTAACTCATCAAGGTTGCTATGGCTCAAGTCAAGTTGCGTCAAGTGTTCATTTGTATGAAGCACAGAAAAGAGATTTTGCCAGCATTGAGTGATATGATTACCATCTATTTGCCTATATAATCAGAAAAGAAAAAAACAATTTATTTCAACCCAGGCAACTCTCAAAAGGTGATACTGGGGTAAAAGTAAATGGTCTTTGGGAATGTTAAGAACATTCAGTGCAGCTTTGCCATGGGCATGGCCCACCAGGACATTTTCTCTGGGTATTCCAGAGGCTTTATTTGCCCCCCACCCCCATCTGCTATCTGGTTCCTGTTGGTTGTTACACACCAAATGAAAACTAGAGACTTCACTTGAAAGGGAAAGACTCAGAAGGAACAAGATTATCAAATAGCTGAGGCATTAAATAGCCAAATTTTAAGAAGATAAATACTATGAAACACAAGGTGTAGGATTAGTAAATAGACATTAAATGTAATGTGGTATAGACTAAAAACCACAAGTTTTGAATTGCTGTTTTACCATTTAACTAGCTATATTATTTTAAGCAAGTCACATCAATTCTTTGAGCCCAGTTTTCTTCATCTGCAAAATGGAAGTATTTTTTCATAGGAATGTGAAGATTTAATAGTCAAATTTAGTGGAGACACAAAATACTGAACTTTAAATGCTGTAAGAATTGATTATTGGGTATATTACCAATAGACTCATTATAAACAAAGAAAGGGGATTAAGGAATAGGATATCTGTAATAAGCATAAGCTGTAGAACAGAGCATCCCTGAGTCTGCTATTCACTAAACTGACAAACTAACAAATTTACTAATCCATGTATGTTTCAGTTTCTCCATCTTAGAAAACAAAAATATTTCTTACCCCAGTCTGGCCTGCTGGCAACTGTACTTAACAGGGCTGTCCACAGAAAATGCTCACCAAGTATCTCACATTGTAAGTGCCCCTAATGATTGGTAGCTTTCATATTAAAATGTTAAGTCTTAACATCTTGCGTTGGGCATAGTAGCTACTTAATCACTACTGCTTCTCATGGCTTAAATGGAATGAATGACACTTTAGAGTAGTTTCTCTATCATTTGAGATCTTAAATGTATAAAAGCAAGATAAGTTACACACAACATTCAAGTGCTGCCTATATACAAATACTATTTACATACACATACTATATAGAAACACAAATGGTGAAATAGAAAAGTTTACAATGTTATTTTGTAGAACAGACTGAGGTCACCTACACTGCCTTTTAACACACTGGGTTCTCAGACACATTTTGTTATTTTGACAGCAGTGCCAAAATAGCATTAACTAGCATTTAACTCCAACATAAGTGAAGAGGTTTGACAATCTAGTAGCCAGACTACCCTCCTAACATTATTAGGCATAAAAGGCATTCTAACGCCCTGGGTTCAATCACATCAGTTTTAAATAGAACTATGAAGTCAGTTAAGAAAACTGACTGAAGGAAATTATAATTTTCAGGTCAGAGCATCCCGGCCTACATATTTCTGTTCCCACAATTCAGAGAGCAAGGAAATTTATATGAGAAATGCTTCTGCAACTGTAATGGTAATGGAACAGCTTGGGCAAAGTTGGAAAAAAAAATCAAGATTTACAATCCGATAATGGTCCCAGTCAAGTTTCATCCCTTTGTGTTAGTTTTTTTTCCAAAAGTAAAATAGAAAGGGATGGCATCTATCTCTTAGGGCTAGTAGGAGACTCAAAGAACTTAGACTGTTAGGTATGTGATAAACACTCAGCCAGTGTTAGCTATTATATTATGTGTGTTTTAATCAAGAATTATATACTTATTTTCTATTTAAATATCTCTGAACCTCAATTTTGGAATCTTAAAAATAAATGATAAAATACATTTATGTATGAGATATATAATTCCGTTGCCATAAAAATTAAATTGGATGAATGTGTATCTGGTTCACTAATTATATAACCTATAGTAAGTCCTGAATTAATTTCAGTTAAATCTGGAATTGAATTCCACTGAAGAATTTTGAACCCTTCCCCTAGATTTAGATAGGGTAGAATCAGAAGGGCAACTTGAGGAAGAGGATAAGGTAAAAGCAATAAAGTACACTTAAAACTCATTCTTTCAAAAATATTCATTCATCACCTACTTTTTCCTACTAACCTCTGATAGTCTTTAGATAGACATTATATGGAGGAGACCATTCATAAACTACAAGGCAATGCTCACCATCTGTACAATGGGGTGGTAAGCTAGGTCAGTGGGTTACAAGAGGACATAGGACAAATAGATGACCCATGTACACCAGCTTCAACAAAAACTTTCTGGCCCCTTATTCTTAAATTTGTAAGTTTTGAGTCACTGCTCATAACCTAATGAATGCAAAATTTAAACATACCCTAATAGATACAAGTTTGCACTACCATATACTACACCCTTTAAGGATTAAAGGTTAATTCCCCACCACCACCAGTTGTTAGGAATGCTGACAGCTGAGAAATTTCAGCCCAGTCCCTTTCTTTGAATTACCCTCAGGCCTAGAAAACCATCTCAGGCAAGATTTTCCTATTCCTCATCAGCTATGACTGGTCAATAAGGATTTTAAATACCTGGCCTCAATGTTATAAAATAGAACTCTTAAGGGTTATCCCACCCTGGGTTCCCAGCTAAGTAATTCCTCCCTCTGACAAAATCATTTTCACTCTTCACGGGGCATTCCCAGAGAAATGACAAAATACACTTACCCATTTTCAGCTGCAGCGCTCGAGTTTACCATATTTATAGCCAGCTTAAGGGTCTGCAAACATCGGCAGTGCTTAAGGCAGAATGAAGATACAGGCAAATCAATTTCCTTCGACATATTAATGACAACCTTTGAGAACTTTCCCATTGCCTGGGCTACAAATGCTTCATCTTGAGTCTCATACAGATAGTGAAACAAGTCCATAAATACTAGCCATGGTGGAAAAGTGTCACGGTTTCCTAGTACTTTCACCCACTGAAGTACTTCCCATTTTATCTTCAGGGACAGTCTACATTTGAAAGTTTCCTCCAGTTGTTTTACTATATCCGCATTTAAAAGGCCAAACAAAAAGTATTTTAGCTGTGTCAAATGGGGGTCTTGATCACTTCTGCTTTCAAGTAACAGTTTCAAATCTTCCAAAGACTGGGAGGAATGTTCTTTGTGTTTCAAATCTCTTTTCAGCAGATAGAACATAGCTCCCAGAAACTCCTGAATATGGAGATGGGTGAATACATAACAGTTTTCATACTCTGTGTCCTTTTGAAGAATATTAATATCTAGAAAAGTTGAGGTATCACAAGTGGTGAACCCATGCTTTCTGAGATCATTCCTGTAAAGCACATGTGTCATAGTCCACACTCCTTTGGCAGCTAAGTAGCATAGGTTTCTCAGTTGGGCTTCATTGGGTAGATTAGGAAAGTGTTCACCTACTGGTGCGAATAAGCTGGAGATATAGCATGTGAACACGGCCGTGGCTGTTTGGCACGTCTTCGTGACATCGTCATTCTTCTCCATTTGCTGCTTCAGACAAGCACAGATGAAGCGGCACACCAGGGGGACACGGCACATATTAAAAAGCATCTCATTGCTTCTTATTGAATTGAATGCGTTCATGGCCCAGGTCCTATCTTCAAAAAACTGATAAATATACTCCTTTCTTGCATCCGTGGACATTCCTTGTAGGTCTACATAAAGCCGACTCCTCAACAAACGCTGAGTCAACAAACGCTTTAGTCTGTTGGAAGCTGTGCGTCTTACGGTGACCAGTAAGGATGATTCAGGGAGCATCACTTTCCTCAGCAAACTACTTATGAGGAAGGACACGGGGTGTACTTGGGTCCAGTCACCACACAGTGCAAATTCAGGTTCCTCAAAGGCAAAGTTTAGTTCATCAAAACTATCAATAATGAAAAGGAGATTACTTGGCTGGGAGAGGATCTTTTCAATGGGGATCTCAGTGCTAGGCCAGTCCTTTGATATCAACTGAGCAAAGCTTTTCTCCTTCACCTGGCTAATTTCTTTCCCATTGAGATAAAAAACGTAGGTAAATTTGTGCCGATAGAGATTTCCTTCAGCCCAGGCTAACATTGCCTTTCTCATCAATGCCGTTTTCCCAACTCCAGCAGCTCCCTGAAGCACCACTGTCCGTATCTGCTGACCAGTTGTGATTTCCACATCAAACAAATGTACCAACAGTTTTTGGTGTTCTTCAGAAAGTCCATGGTGGAAATCTGAAGCTTCTCTGAGCAAAGAATTCTTTTCCAAAATATGAAATTTTTCCTTTATTTGAATTTTGTATTTTGTTCCAGCACCTAAACCAGTTAGAATGGACCAGGGTAAAAAAACAGACAAAGAAAACCAAATTCCATTAATTGCAATATTAATACTGGACCTGAAACAAGGAACAAAAATATAGGCTGAAATAAAATCTGGTTTAGATTTTAAATTAATGTAAATCAAGCAAAAGTATTCCTGTACAATTAAAACTTGCATTAGAAGCTGTAAAAAAAAATCATCAAAAATGTGATAGAAAAATTTATTTATTCTAGAAATAGTTTTTTGTTGTTTTTTTTTTTGGTACTGGTGATCGAACTCGCATCCTTGCGCTTGCGCAGCAGGCAGCAAAACCACTGAGCTAAATTCCCGGCCCTCTAGGAATAGTTTTATACTTTTTCTGAAGAAAAAAGATCACATGCATGGAGAACATAATCATTCAGATAAGTAGCAGAGACAGCAATGGTGGTGACAAAGGAGAGCTCCAAAATAAATCTAATCAAAATAATCCATTTTATGTAATAGAAATGAATTAATGGGCATTAACAAATTAGTAATTAATAAAGCAAAATGCCTGAATATCTTTTTTAAAATTGCAAATATCCAAGTAGAATGAAAATATAGTTTTGGCTTTCCATAGTTAAATCTGATTTTTCTTTTAAATCTTCATTTAAATGACACTGTTTCAGGGATGCTTTCTCCAAACCTCAATGCTAGTTCTTCCTTTCATATATTCTCAAAATTCAGTGTATTTTTCATCTCATGCCCAGAGTCTAGAATATTTCCTTGCACACAAGTTTCAAATGTATTTGTTGGATTAAAAAAGTGAAGGAATGCAATTGCATAATTGGATACTATGCAATTTTTGAATAAAGTACAATACAAAAATGCAAATATGCAAAAAGTCATAGCTGAAAAAGAAAATCGCAGAAAATGTGTATGATATAATCCTATTCTAGAAAAATTAAATGACCTTTATACCTCAGCCTATAGACTAGGCACCAAAATGTTAATACTGGTGCATATTTCTAAATAGCAAGATTGGGGAAGGGAATGGAGAGGATGAGAAACTCACTTTATGTACTTTTGTAATATTTGAATCTTTTAATCTATTCACAACAGGGCTGTAATTCGTATATCTAGCTACTAGGTGGCTTGAACCACTGGTGGTACATACATGACTGTCCAGTTGAGTCCCTTTTTATTAGTTAAAAACACCAATGAAAGCAATTAGATCTGTTTGTACCACCAGTGGTACAAGCCACCCAATGCATATACCACTAGTGGGTCAAGCTGGCAGGAACATGTTAAAATGTGTATGTCTTGCTTACATGAAATTGAAAAACAAAAATATAGACACATAGCCAAAACATTAAAGACATGAATAAAAAACATTAGGTAAAAAAAAAAGTCACACTTTATGAAATTATAATTCAAATAGTGTGGTGCTGGAACACACAGAAGCATTAGTAAATCATTGTTTTTATTTTCTATTGTGTACTTAGTTTCCAAAGATTCTATAATGTTTTATCACACATTGTCAAAAATATGGAGATGTTAGTAAACTATGTATATAACTGTATATATTAGGGGAATAGACATTAGGTTTGAAATCATAAAAATAGCAATTATTTTCTTATACCACAAGAAAAACTTCCTCATGGTAGATCAAAAACTAAGGTCAGAGTAGGGGATTAGAGTCATGGTCAAATAATACAATAAGCAATTTGTTTTTATTAGTGCTTGAAATGAAAGTAGTTCTCAATTATTTCTTGAATGAAATGTGGCTCATTAGCAGTTTTCCTGGGTTAAGAATAAAAGGTCTAGGGTTTTTCTACAGTAATTTATTCATAGAAACTAGAACTGTAGGATTCAAAACAAAACAAGGGAAATAGTATTGAAGTAGGACTGAGAATACCTCATTCTAGAAATTATACTTTATGTGGACTAGTCAGTTACCACGCCTGGAACTCAATTACAGCACCATCTCTAAAGTAAGGGAATAGATGTAATAAGTCATATGGCCCTGTCAACTCAGTTTTAGTCCATAAAACACAAACATGAATACACCTTTTTCATCAGGCTGTCAACTTTTGATTGGGCATTTTGAAATACTGCTCTCTTAAGGGCCTGGACCAATATGGACCTGATTCACCTATACCAGAGAGCTACTTTTGTTGACTTTTGGAATGACATTCAGGCAATAAGCACAGGCCATGTATCAGAAGTTAACCAGTGTTGAACAATGATCCTTTGTGTGTTAAACCTACAATCATGTTTCAAAAGATCAAATGCTGGCAGGGGTTGGGGGAGCCTATCTACTCACTCAGCTCTGCCTCCTCAGCCATCTCTTGTTCCATGGTCTCTGGTGTCCCTGCAACAGGTTAGAATGGGAAATGAGATTTATGGAAACCAATAAGCTTTGGTGATTGCATTATCCTCGGGGGTCCAGTTCTTTGATCACCAACAGAAGTCTTGAGCTCCATCAGCTCAGCTGAGGCTACAAAGTGATGTGGTACAGACACCACTAGAGTAAGACCTCTTGCCATCCCTACCATGCATAATAGGTCTCAGTTTCATTGCTTGTACTGACCTCAGGGAGACAGTGCAGCTCAAAGGAGTAATGGATACACCCTTGTAGCTCTAAAGTCTTGTATATGAGTAAGGAATTTTAAATGGCTACAATATTCCACATCTGGGATGACTAAAAATACTGGCTTGATTTTGTTGCTTAGTAATTTAGCTCATTACTGATATTTTAGAATCTCAAATGTGATTTAGTCATAGGCTAACTTATGACACTATGGTTTAGGCAGAAGCACATTAGGAAGGATAATTTCTATCACTTAATTCCTTTAATCATTTTGGTAAGTACAAGGATGACAAATCCCTCCCACCCCTGTTAAGGAGCCGTGCTAAGCAACAGTATTCAAATTCTGTTTTTCCCAAGTTCCTCCAATGACCCAACAAGCTTGGCATATATAATACCCACCACGAGACCTGTATCTCTCAGAATCATTTAATCCCTCAGTCTCTTATAGAATCATTCCAGTGAGCTCCAGGAAATACAGTGGGCCCTTGACTCACAAACTTTATTGGTTCCCAATGGCTGGTTGTAACTCAAGTTGATTGTAAGTCAATATAGCCAAGATCTGGATGTTTACCTAGGTACACACTATAGATAGCAAGAGGCAGATGAATCTTCCATTAACCTAATTAATCCAAGTTGTTCATATGTCAGGCTGGTCGTAACTTGAGGGTCCATGGTATCTCCTCTCCCTCCCCCCAGATCTATCCTAGCACCACTCACAGTTGATCTTTGCTCTTGCTCTCTCGCACATTTCCCTCAGGTTCAACTTAGCAAAAAGTTCGAGTGTCATTTTCTGGGCCTGTTCTTCTGGGTAGTATTTGTTTATCAAGTTAGCAAGTTGCTGTCGATCAGCCATCTTCACTGCAGTCCAGGGCATTAGGCAGTGCTCAGGTTCTATGGTCTCCTTTAGAAGTAACTTGAATTTATTTAATTCCTCATTATTTAGCTCCTCCAAATACAATAGCAGCCCAAAATCAGTAAAGGAGGAAAATGTTGGTGAATCTACCATCTTGTCCTTAGATCAGGATTCAGGCTCTAATGGGGAAAAATAATTTTTAAAAATGAAATAAATGAGGCCTAAGTACAATTAGAAAATAAAATCTCTACAGAAAAAAAATTCAATGAACATGTGCTGAAGCCCACTACATCAGGCTTAAAACTGATCTAGTGTCTTCTGTACATACATTTTCTACCACAAAATAGTCTAATATAGATCACTGTACTGTCTTGTTTCTTCCATCCTCCCAGGATTTATATCCCAGCTTACCACTTAATCAGCTATAAAAATTTAAAATTCATCTCTGAACCTCAGTCTACTCTTCTCCAAAGTGGTAAAATCCAACTTCAGAGTATTACAGTACAGAAACTCATATCACCTCCATAGCACAAGTTTCTACTAAGTATCGGTTACACTCATCTCTTCTTTTCCTTATCTAATATGTATTTCAGCCTATAAAACACTGTTATTGCACCCCTGCCAACACATTATTCTTGAAACACATGCAATTGCAATATGCCACAATGTCTTCTTCTTAGAATGTCATTTCTGGTCACAAATCCACACATCACCAAGAGTCTGTTGCTAACAAAAGCTCCCTCCACTTTTAGTCCTCAACACAGGTTACTCTAAGTTCAATGCTAAAGTTCATCTGGAACAGCATTCATTCTCTTACATCCTTGACATCAAGTTCTGTAACCTTACTGCACCCCAGCATTTCTGATGTTCTCACCTCAGGCTTTATTAGCAACAACTACTCAAATTCTCAAATTGTAATCTCCCATAACCCATTTTCTACTAATATCTTCCAGTTGGACAGTTTCATGCCCTCCCATTGTGAATGCTCTGAAAACACCATCAAATCCTAGTCTTTTGAGGCCTGCATTTTCCCATTATTTATCAAGTTATCTGAAGAGCCTTTATCCAGCCTGGGGAATCCAATTAATCACTTAAGCCATCTACATTTAATCACTAAACTCTTCCCAGCCCCTTCAAGCTCATTTTCCCTTCAGAGATTCGCCCGAACAGATCTAGTAAGTGGTATATATGGAATTCAATTTAGATCTTGTACTAATCTCTGTCCTTTCAGTCTTTTGAAATGTGTCCCTATTCTTGCTAATAGCATTGGAAAATAGGTGGTAGGAATCAAAATGTACACAAGGGAGAATTTAACCTCATACACAAAGTGAAGTATCTCAAATTAAATAAACAAGGACTGCTTCCTACAGTTACTGGTGAGCTATTAGCAATTTTAGGGTTATTTTTAAATGACCTTGCAGAAATAGAATAGTCTAGATTATAGATTTAACAAAATCTGGTTCTAAAATTTTTTTAAGTGAAGGTAATAAATCCTAGGAAACATCAAACACTGAAATTTCTCCAGGGCACACAGAATATGGTAGGTGAGAAAAAGTGAAGCACAGAACACATCCTCAACTTCCTACCTAGAAATTTATAGATATCACTGTATATAGGCCTATCACTTTTTCTTTCCTGGAACAAAGGGAGCTCTCCCTCCTTTCCTATAGCTCATTCCTCCACCTGTGACCCGAGTTCCATCAGCAACTCTTCCCAAAGTGACACATTAGTCACCCCTCTTCTCTATGTTAACTTCTCCCTGTCTTCTAGGTCCTTCCATTAGCATTTAAACATGCCCAAATTGCATGCCATCTTTAAACATTTCCTTTCCATCACCATCTTCTTCATAGTCAAACTTCAGTCTTCCATATTTTAGCTATTACACCTCCTCAATCTACTGCAAGAAAAATTTTACCAAGAAAATTCCACTGAAAGCACATACTAACTAGCACCCTATTTCAAAATCAGGCATTTTGAGATTCAGTTTTCATATCTGTAAGCAGGAATAAGAATCTGCCTCTGCAAAGATTAAAAAATGTTAATGTATACACCTGGCTTACAAGGTGCCACAGTACTATATAATTATCTTTAACAATGCCTCACATCTTGCTATTTTCTCTCCTCTTTAATCCCACTTTTTTCATTTTTCCTCCTGCCTTCCTCAGTATCCCTTTGAGCCAAGATGTACGAGTCTGAATCTTACCAGATTTCCACTACATGATATCTACAATTCTGATATAGCACAATGCACTCCTTGGAAGAATTTTTGTTTCATAGCCTTTTTATTTACGTCTATTTGTCAAATCCCAAAGAGATAAAGAAATGTCATGAAACTGTACTTGAATTTGGCTCATAGGCAAGTATTGGCAACTTTGGTAGAGAGAAATTTTAGGTCACTTTTAAGATTGACGGGGTAGTGATACTATTTCTAGAACTTTGCTAGGAAGAGGAGGTAAGAGATACATTGGAACTACAAAGATTTTTAGGTGGCTTGTTTTGTTTTCAGAGAGAAAATCAGAGAGAAAAGCTGCTCTGAGGAAGCCCGTGGTACCAAATAGCAAACAGCACAGGTGGCAGGAGAAGCCTGAGATTGAAGGACAGATAAGGGTGGCTCACCTGAACTAATCAGGCCAAGTGAAAGTGGGACTATTCACAACACTTTAACTCTGTTGGGTTAAGGAGCAGCCTCTACCTGGGAGTTAAAAGCAATCCTAGGTTTCCATACAAAAAATACTGGTTACTCCTTGAGTGAATTCTCATTCTAGTCTCCCACACCACCCCACTCCAGTGACAGCAGACACCTGGAATGTCACTTCTACTCTGTGGTGTTGCCCAGGCCAAAGCACTAGACATCACCCCACTCTCAGTGGGAGCCTACCTGCATCTACTTTTAGGCCTTGGGCCTGCATCCCCTTCCTTATTTTCACACAGAATATGGGCAGTACAAAAATTCCCATGGAGTCCTGCCTGTTCACACACCTGAGAAGAGGAGGGTCACTCCTTACCTTGGGTATCAATGGTGCAGATCAAACTCCACCACCAAAAGCCACAAATCAAAGAGGGAATAGGAAAATTTGAAAGGGCTCCACAAATACTTGTGGTTTGATGGGGGAGCTCAGTCTCTTGCCTTTAAGGCCTCTTCTCTCTCCTCCTCTGTGCGTGGAAAAATTCAATAGGTGGGCTGTGTGGGCTGGGCCAGTGTGGTTTAACGCTTATTGGCTGGCTGGGCACTGGGGACTCTCTGACCCCTGTTTACACCTCCCACTTGCTCCCCAAGGCATTCCTTCTGTACACCTGTAGGCACACATCTTTCTTCTTTTCCTAATGACTAATGATGAAGTGGGGGAAGGGAGGCAATCTGGGACTTGAAGCCTATCTTTGAATAACCTTTCCCAGACAGGCTGATTCCCTTTTATTCACTCATCCAATAATCTATAGAATTATTTCGCTTGTACTTTGTGTCTGGCAGTTTTCTAGGTTCTTTTCAGCAGTAAACAAAATATCCAAAGTTTTAAACCTACAAACCCTACAGAGCTTACATTCTGCTGAAGGAGTACAGATAAAGCATTGAATTTTATCAGGTGACCATTGTTATGGAGAAAAATCAAGTAGAGTAAGGGACATAGTGTTGGGGTGGAATGGGTAGGGGATGGGTCTTATTTCTCTTTAAATGGAAAGGGAAGACACTACTATGGTGACATGTGCAGAAAGAGTGTGAGCTGTGCAGATATCTGGGAGCTGAACCATTCCAAAAGGAGGAAATTACAAGTACAGAGGCCCTTAAGCAAGAGCCTCCCTTACATATTTGAGGAAAATTTGCATCTAACCAATGATGATGGTTGCCATAAACCTATGTTCACTTATGGATATGGAAACTTGTCCAAATCCCAAATGACCAGAACTGTTCTTGTGTAAATAAATGGCCTTGGCCTAAAGATAGGAATCTCAAAGTTGGCTTAGACTCCAACAGAACCAGCAGCTTTAGGAATTGGATTATGTAACTCTCAGATGACAGGCCTCTACACCAAATGGGTAAACATGGAGGTTCTCTTAGTGGCTTCCTTTTTTTCAGTATAACCCACTTAAAACACCTTTTCCTATTTATATAGCAACATTTGGAAGAATTTGAAGATGTAGATCATCTTGTTTCAGGTAGCATTTCTCCAGATGGAATCTTCACGGAGAGCTTTAAACTTTATTGGAAAAGTATGAGCCCAGTATTCATTGACATTAAATAAATGCATGAAGCTGATGTAAAGGTTCCAACACAGCTGATGTAGTTTCCAACAACCTCAATCACTATCAGAAATCAGAAGACTAAACTATATTGATATAAAAACGAACTCAAAAGAATAACCAACAGTGTATAGTGAGAGAAAAGGCAAACTCCTGTCTTTGATTCCAACCAACTATATTAATTGGTTAACTAGTAACCTTTAAGTATTATGCTGAATATCTTGTTTAAAAGCATATATATATATTTTTAAAAATCTATGAATCTTAAAAGTTTTGGTTCTGAAACCATTAACATGCCCATAAAACCAGATATTGAACATATTTAGCTTCTGAAATGTAAAAAAAGAAACTAAAGAAACTTTTAGATGCTTGAGGGTCCTGAAATTATACTTTTACAAAAATAAATTAGAAATTTAAAATTTTTATTCAAATTATATATAACTGGCCATACTTAATTTTACATATTAGTGCAATCTTTTTTTGTTTCTTTTCCCTTTGGTTTTAACTCTCCTACTGAAAGCAACACCTGTAGGAAAGAACATTGTTTGCCCCTTATTGGACCATTATTAAAGAAAATTCTGCTTTTTTTCTTATTAATTGTAGTAAAATTTAACTTTTTGGTCATTTTTACCTTAAAATGATCAATAATAAAAAATAAAAATGCAAGTCTCCTTAACAACTACAAGCAAAAAACTATCTCAGAAAATATTTTAAAATTTCTCCTAATACTTCTGCAACTAGAAAAACACTATTCTTCATAAACTAATCTAATAAAATGCTAAGTTGAAAATATAATCTCCATTTTGTTTTATTGCCCCATAAGGAAATATGCATACATATTCATAGTATTATCGATTTTCTGATTATATACATTTATACCTGGAAGTGTTATTTGTACTAAAATTATGCTTGGAGAATTTCTTTGTCAGATTAACAGAACTTGTCACTTCCTTCATCTTCCAAAAGGATAGAGATAAAATTAAAGTGGTTGAATTCCTTCTTTACTGATAGTTTGAGAGACTGTCTTAAAGGTTCCCACTTTCTCCTGTCTACACTCACATTAGTCTTTCCCAGTAACAATCCACATTATGCACATGAACTGTCCAGTATGTATCCTTTCACATTTTTCTTCTGTGTTGTGTAATTAAACTTACAATCACATACACAAACACTCATACAGTTACAAAATTTGAATTATATTATTCCAATTTTTGTATCTTTACTTTCCAAGACAATAATTTTACTTATTTATTTGACTCTTAACATTCACTCCCCACACTTCACCACATCAAGAGAATACTTTCACAAGAGACCCAGATTTTTAACTCTTTAATTCATTGTTTTAACCCTAACTCCTAGAACAGTGAATAAGTCAATCAACAAATTATCATAAATGTAAAATGAGTCAAGTGAAAATGAGTATAGCAAGAAACAAGGCCAGCAGGGCCAATAAGGGATGCAGAGGCAAAATAACAGAATATGTGATCTGAGAGGTCAGAGAGAAAATGAGAAAGAAAAGGAGAGATTATACAGGGTCACATAGGTCATTATAAGTACTTTGGCTTTGACTGTAAGTTAAGAAGCCAATGAAGGATTTTGAGCAAATAATAATCATAATTATGTGTTAAGAGAATCACTATGGATAGTGATCAGGTAGACAGGAGTAGGGCAATGGTAAAAGCAGACCAGTTAAGAGAATATAACTATCCAGGTGAGAGAAAATGATGGCTAGCACAAGGCTTATAGCAGTGGAGGTGTAAATGGGTCCTTTTGTGGATATTTAGGGTAGAACTGCAAGAGTTTGCTAATGGAACACATAAGGGATGTAAAAAAGAAAAAAAAAAGGAATCAAAGATAAGTCCAAGATATTGATTTAGGAAAATGAAAGACAGAGAAGGAGAAGACTGTGAGAAAAGCAAGTTTGGGAGAAGTCTTCAACACATTTTGGGGGATGCTAAATTTGAGATGCCTGTTAGATGTCAAAATAGAGACACCAAAGGAGTCTAGAGGTAGAGGTTACACTGAAACTGGAGATGCAAGCTTTAGAGTTACCAGCCTTTAAGTGGACTCTAAAACTGTGGGAAATCACAAGGGAGTAAGAGGAGATAACACAAACATCCAAACTAGGCACAGTGGCATACACCTCTAATCCTGGCACTGGAGAAGCCAAAGGCAGGAAGATTGCAAATTCAAATCCTTCTTAGGCAGTTTGGCAAGATCCTGTCTCAAAATTTAAAAGATAAATAAAAAGGCTGGGGATGTAAGTCAGTAGTAGAGTGTCCCTGGGTTTGATTTCTAGTACTACAAAAGAAAAAAATGCAAAGTCTGATTCTTGAGTCATACAAGACAGAATGTGTGAAGAGCAATAAAAGTATTTTTAAAAGAGCCTGAAAATGAACGTCCAGAGATGAAAACCTAGGGCATGCGGTGTCTAAAAGTCTAAATGAAGAAAATATATCAAGAGATGTAAGTTGCACCCAATTCTGCTGATAGAAAAAGATGAGACTGAAACTAACCACTAGATTTAGCAACATAGAGATTATTCATGATTTTAAAAGCATTTGAGTGTAATGGTGGGGTGAAATCTAATTGGAATAGGTTTAAGACTGGAAGGAGAAAATTTTGAGATAACGATCTACTTTTTCAAGAAGTTTGGCTTAAAATGAAGGAAAGAAATAAGATGATTTCTGGGGGAAGTGGGACCACCACAGAATAAATATATCTGCCCCAGAAGTCACATGTTGAAAGCCAATACCCAGTGTGATGGTATTAGGGAATGGAGCTTTGAAAGGGATGAGAACTCTGCAACGTATCCCAGTACATCACAGGATAAATGCCCTTATAAAAGAGGGCCCAGTAACCTCAATGTGAGGACTCAATGAGAAGTTAGCTGTTAATGAACCTGGGAGTGAGCCCTCACCAAACAGAATCTGTGGGTGTTTTGAACCTGGACTTCTAGTCTCCAGAATGGTGAGGAGCAAGTTTCTGTAGTGTTAAGCCACAGAAAGTTTGTGGTATTTTGTTATAATGGCTCAAAGACATGTCCTTTACGAGCTTTTTAAATTTTTTAAAGAGAACGACAAACTTGATTGTTGATGGGGAAGATCTAACAGAGAGGAAAGAAATGATGTTACTCACAGGAGACAGGTGTTACCAGAGTCAGGTGTACATGTGACAGGAATAGATGTCATCTAGTAACTAAGTGGATGGTTCCTTTGCTAGGAGCACAGCTTTTTCTCCTATACTAAAGATAAAGTAAATGGGTGTTGATGCAGGTAGGTGCGTGGATACATGGTGAGGAGTAGGGAGGTGTGGAAGCTTTGTTTTGTTTTGGTTTTTGATTGCTTGTTTTCTCGGGGCAATTAAAAACACTTTAATCAGCTAGGGACAGGAATGACAACAGATAATTTTTGTAAATGTTTTATAGATGCAAAAACATCGCCTTTATTCTAGAGATGTTTTCTATATATTTTCAAATCAATATTAATTATACTATTCAATTTATGTATTATTTTTTAATCTCTTACATTTAATTCTGAGACAAATATATTGAATTTTCTCACAGAATTGTATTTACCAAGTTCTTAACTTTTATCTTTGCTTTATGTTTTTAGCAGAATTAATATTATTGTATTCTTTATAAATTGTGCCTTTTATCAGTAAATAAAATGCATGTCATTCTTTCGTTCTTAACATCCTTTAGTTGAAGTTTCTGGTCTTTTTTGATTGCTTGGTATCTTTTTTTTTAATCAGCCTCTCAAATATTTTGTAAATAAGATAAGGCTAGATTTTGGTGTTTGATTCAAGAGGTTTCTCCCTTTGCATAGAAGAACTCAATCCTTTTGCATTTAGCATAATGACTGATAATTTATTACATTCTTTATATATGTTACTGTAGCTTGATTATTTTTACATCAAGGGTTTCTCTTGTTTCCTTTCCCATAATTTTTTGTGGGGTATCTGTCTTTGGTTCATTTCTTTATAACCCTTTCTTATATTGTTTCCTCAGATTAGGGAAACCTGAATAATGCAGACTCTCTGTTCTTACAAATCTTTAAATACCTTTCACCATGACAGGTGATTTTATTTTGACTGATGGATTGGAACTCATGTACTTTACTAGTCTATACTGCTATTGAATACATTCCTAACTTCCAACATTACAAAAGAGAAGTCCAATGTCATTTTTATTTTTAAACAACTTACCCTTTTTGCCTGAAAGCTAATGAGTTTTCTTTTTATTCTTCAAGTATAAGAATTGTACCTTTATATCTGGTGTTCCTTTACTCATTAATCTAGACTGAAATGTAGTGCATCTGCAGATAACAGGCCATATTTTCAACCAAGGAAACTTTTCTATTATTATTTGTTTCTTATCTCTGTCAACCCCCCACACCCCCTTTTTTTTTTCCTTTTGGAACTTCTGTGTCTGTATGCTAGGTCTCAGAGATGTATACTTTACACTTTTTCTCTTTTTTATTGATTTCCATTTCTATCTTCTTTTTCTCTGTGGTTTGGGACATTTCTTTAAATCATATAGTGTATTTTGGATCAAAAGTGGTCATCTTTTCTAATTCAACTGCTAAAATGCTTAAGCTATGTAGAATTAACTCCAAAAAGTCTTGTTTATGCTATGCTTGATGCTACTTTTTGTTATTCATATTAACCTCTGCCCTACAGCATTTATATTTCCTCAGATGCACATTCTATTTGTTTTTCTGTCAACTGCATCCTCTTAGCTTTTTTCTTTTTTCTTTTTCTTTCACCAAATCATTGAGGTTTGGATCTGCTTCATGGATATTTTAAGTGACAGCGGTTCCATGAGGGAAAGAGTGAGCTGTCTACCCGTCAGCCATTGAATAGGAGCACAAAGCTGCCCACTTTCCTGCAGAGGCACCTGAATAAATTCTCTTGCTCTCCAGTTTCAGTAATCTCTCAAACCACACAGGGACAGTTGACAGTTGCCCTACATATTCTTCTTGGTCTCACAGAAGTCAAGGAACCCCAATTTGTGCAGATCTCCTAAGGGGTCAACAGATATGAGGCCCAAGCTTTTTTCAAGAAATACCACGATTAAGTTTTTTTTGTTTTTTGTTTTTTTGGTACTGGGGATCAAACTCAGGACCTTGCAAGGCAGGTGCAGTGACACCGAGCTAAATCCCTAGCCCGATTAAATTTCAAGATCTAGGTTCTCATGCTATTCTTCATGTTTATGTCCAGTCCACAGGATTGTGAGCAGTTTCATACCAAGTTTGTTCAATAAGACTCCTAATGCCAAGATTTCTCTCTATAAGACCTAGTTAAGAGAAGCTGACAGCTATGATCAGGGAATGGAGGAGCTCATTCAAGTAGCCTTTTCTTAGGATCTCCCCCACATTCCACACGTATCTTTGACAGCCTCTGTCCTTTTCTGTGATGGACTTTATGAAATGGGAGATCCATTTATATTTATGTTAATATTAAAAGTCCTGATTTTTCCAAGTTTCACCAACCTTAGCATAAAGATGACATTATAAATTGTCTGGGGCAGACTTTAAGGATTATTCTTAATTAGAATTCAGTTGAAACAAAATCTTAGGTTCTACTTCTCTCTTAAAATGAGTTTAAAAATACTGAAAGCCCAGTTACAATTCTCGTATCCTCTGATAACAAAATAACACAGTCTCAAAGCACACTATTTGAAAAGATGAAAATATAAGTCAATCGCTAATATTTAATGTCTTTCTGTGCCAGAAATATCCAAATTAAATTATATGGATTATCCATATTCTTTAATAATGACCACAGTGGGTCGGGAGAAGAGTGTAGGACAGTACAACTCCAGTGTTCATTCTTACTGGTGAATGTCTGTGCATTCAGGACTTGACCAACTGTATCTATTTAATGATATTAAAATCTTCATCTCATAGTTGAAAAGACTGAGGTAAAAGGTTAAATTGCTTGCCTCCATCACTAAGTGGATGACTGAAAAAAAAAAAAGGTTATGAGGTACATTTTGTCAGACAAGACCTCAATTGTTAAAATACTAAATCATACTGTCTCTGAATATTCAAGCCAGGAAAAGGCCCATAAATAATAATTTTCCAAATGTGGCTTCACAGTCTAAGAAATTCAAGTGCTTATTTTCTGATGGGGCCCAGACAGATTTTGAGTTATTTACCTTTATTAAACATTCAACTGTAAATACATAGTTAATATTTACAGTGCTTCCTATGTGCAGGGACATATTTAAACATTTTAGTTACACTACCTTATTAAACTCTAACATATATGAAAGTTATTATTATGTGATTATTGTTATGACTATTATTACTATTAACTTATCACAGATTATGTGATTATGTGATGCAGCCAAGATCACATTAATAATAAGTGGTATATTCAGATTAGACTGCAAAGAATCTTTTGCTTTGAACTACCCGTCCAAAGCTTCCTTGCCTAATAACAAGTTAGAATACTACTGATACTGAACAAGTTTGTGAGAGAGGGCCTAAGGAAGCAGAATTTTCCCAAAACAACACGATGGACTACATAAAAGAAGTGCAAGCACTTCAAACTTTTTCAGCTGTCTTAGGACACAAGGAGGGGCTCCTCAAGCTTCACCTCATTCCACCTGGACTCCAATCTTGAGTTTAGGAGCAATGCTAGCTAGGGCCAGGGCCACTGGGGTGCGCATTCTGCCAAGGGCACTGGACAGCAACCCCAACCACCCTTCGCCAAGCAAAGGTGACCCTACAAGTGTTTCCTCTGGTTCTGGCTGAGAGGTTCCATATTTGTAGTCTATGAGGGCTCCAGAATTCTCTGAAGCCAGTCCTCCTTTCCCTGACATCTCAGCCACGTCCCCTTTCCAGACCCTAAGCACCTAGAGTTTTTATAAACTCTTTTACTGTAATAATGTTTGTTTTTGTTTTTTTAAATTTAAACATCCCCTTATTCTTCGACCACAATTTACAGAGATGGCAAGCTCCGTCCTCCGTGTTGAAGCGCTCAAGGGCGCCGCCCTCTGGCGCCGAAAACCGGCAGGGACATCTGCCCAATCAGGAGCCACATCAGCCAAATCCTACTGCGCTCTCCTTTCCCGCTGGGTGCCCTTCCCTCTCCATGGAAACGCTGCTAAGAGTCTGCGGGGTTCTGGGACTTCCGTTTCGGTGCGGAGAGGCTGAGGCCCTTGTTTATGTGGGCTGAGTGTTTCGCAGATTCCGGTGCCCACTCAGGCTCCATAAGCGATGCAGAATCTTGAGAAGACAACGCGAGAAGCAGACCAGGGCGAGAAGAGGTGTGGTTCAAAGAAGAGCGGCTGCAAAGTGAGTTAAGGCCAGAGAAGCAACTCCGACTTAAAAGTCCCAGATGTGATTGGTGGTGGGTCCCGCACAGCTGCGCTCCCCTGTGAAGGTCAGAAAATAGGAAGAAGGGAGGGGGGCTGGGGCAGCTTGAGTCCCAGAGTCTCGAGGCTTGGTTGGGAGGTTTGGGCTCGGGCCAGGACCTGGATGCTCACGGGAGGTCGTGTGGAGCAGAGGCAGCGCGGAGCGCTGGCCCTGAGATCCTACTCCTTGACGAGGATTCTTGTGAGTGCATCCTGTCCTGCAACCTGCTAGCCCGTGGCTCGAACTGACCTGCCTTGTGGCTTTCACCTTTTTTTTTCCTTTAGGAAAAGGAAGCTTTTAATTAATTGCTTATGTTTTTTCCTAGGACCTACCAGCGATCAGCAAAGACAGACCAGAATGTTCCCACTTTACGTACGGGTGAGAAAACAGGTCTTGAAAGGTGTAGAAGTTTGGTCTTTAAACATCTATAAGTGGTTGATAGCAGAGTTGAGGCTGTTCAGGTCCTGCCAGCTTTCTCCAGAAATCCAGGTGCCACTGTGATAGTAAATCCAGTATTTTGTTGTAGTAAGTAGGGGAGGGCAATGGAATTATTTTCTCCTTAAATTTATTGAACAAATATGAGAAACTCTTAAGAACTGAAAGAAGTCACTTAAATTATTTATATTTTATTGACATTGTTGTTAATACTCTATATAAATGAAGTATATAATCATAAATTAATAAAAACCTTGGGGCTCAGAAGGATTGAATTACATAAAATTCTGAATCCTTGGAGGAGCCAAACTGAAATCAAATTCTGTGTTTTCATGTCTTAGAGTTGTATCCCTTGAAGTTTCCAGAGGGTCAGAAATAAGTTACAAAGCACCAGTGTTCATAGCTCTCCTATCTGATTGTTGAAGAGGAGCACGAATGTTCCTGGGCTGGGGTTAGGCTCACTTAGTGTGTGAGAATTTTAGTGAGTTTGGGAATTGAAAGCCATGCTTATTTTTTGATTTCTTTCTTCTCCTTCAGTTCAGGTGGCTCAGTACTCTACCACTCCCCAAAAGACGAGAACAAAGGAGAAAGGCATGTACACTCTTCCTGTCAGTCTGATCTGTGGTGAGTAGGATTGTCTTTTTTCATTTATAAGATACCCTGACTTCTCTATCTGTAGGGAGGTAGTGGAAGTGGCAGTGAAGATGGATGGATCAAACTTCTTCCAAGTGTCTTTTCCTAACACTGACTTATTCATTCAGTCACTCAAGACTACAATGCCTATAATCCTTATTGTTTTGGGTGTTCTGAGGTAAATTTAAGGATGTCTCCACATGGAGTAATAAAGCATATGAGATTAATAATTTCTAAAGTTATCCACATTAAACAGTGTACCTCTGCAGTAGAGTGCTTGCTTAGCATGTGCAAGAACCTGTATTTGATTCCTAGCATTGCAAAAAAAAAAAAAAAAAAAATAAAATAAAAGTACAAAATTTCTGAGTTTTAATAATGTTCTTGCATGGTAATTTCTCACATAACAGCAGAGATTGTGCCCATAATGCAAGACATGATTAATAAATCTAGAGAGGAAAAAAAAAAAAAAAAAAAAAAGGAATTTGAGGAAACTAGTTACAGGGAAGTGTAAGGATAAATGTTTAAAGTGAAGCCACTTTGTGGAGGAGTATTCATATTTAATTCCTTAGTTATTCTTGTACACTATCAAGAGTCCATCTCACATCAATCAAAGGCAGCTATTATTAACATTTGGGTATATTTACTTGTAATCTTTTCTCTAATACTTAATGCACATACATATTTACTAATCTGGATAAGCACTAACATGTATGGATACATGTATATACATATACTGTATGTCCGAATACACGCATAAGTTTACCTAAAACATGTATGTATAGATATTTATATACATATATAATAATTGAATTGTGAAAAATAGGTCACGAGGGCAAGTGTTGTTCCCAATATACAGAACTGTACCTTGTATGTAGTAAGCACTCAGTAAATATTTGTTAAATGTGAGTGGCTGTTATTTGTATAATTTTTTCATTTTACATATAATGACTTTTCCAACCATTTTTTGGTAGCATGAGTTTTTAGGACTAATTATGTCCCATTCTAGGTATATACCATTCTTTATTTAAGTTTTATTAGGGAAAATTTAAGTATTTCCCAATATTTTACTATTATAAACAACTTCTAGTAAATACTTTTATTTATAATTTATTAAGTATATGTTAATTTCTCAAAGTATACTCAGAGAAATAAAGACTCACTGGATATAAACATATTTTGGGCTTTTGAAAAACTTAAGTTCTTTTGGGGGAATAGTGCATGAACCTCAACTCCTATGACAATTTAATGAAATATCTGATCTTGCTAAACTTTTACTAGAATTTAGTGTTTTAAAAAAAGAATTTGCCTTCACATGAATCCTCCTTACTCTTTAGTAAGGTTGACTTTTTTTTTAACCTATGCTCGTTGACTATCTACATTCTTTTTTGATGAATTGCCTATTAATACACATCACCTTTTTTCTGCTAAACTTCTAGTTTCCATTTGATGGTAGGTACTCTTTTATGTAAAAGATATAAACCATTTGTTGTATTCTGTAAATATCTTATTGAGGTTGCCACTTGCCTTTTACTTTTAAGGGCTTGTTTATATATTTTTAAAATTTATGTAAAACAAAATATTTCTTACTTCATCCTCAAATCTAGTACATTTACTTTAGTTTTCCTCATTTTTTTATAGTTTTGAGTATCTTTAAAAAAGCTAAATTCCTAAATTTAATTTTGATGTGATAAATGACAGAATGTAACATGTAACATTCTTTTTTCTTCTTACTGAATTTTTCTAGTAACATTTATCTTCTCCTCTGATTATGGTATTTTCATATGCAAAATTACTCGATATTTTACACCTAGAAATATGTACATGTTGATCACTTTTGGAGCTGCCCCATTCCCTGGATTCCTGCGCTGTTCCCTGTTCCCTGCCCTTTCCCTGGATTCTTATATTGGTAAGAGAGTATTTTTATTGTTGTCCCTTATATGTAGTACATTTCATGGGCAACAAAGGAGAATGTAGCCTTTCTTTTTCACTCAGTGAGGGTGAAGAAAAAAAAGAAAACAGGTCATATGTTGGAAATATTCCACAAAGTAACATTGTAATGATTTCTGTTTTGGAAAAAATGAAGTAAAAGTTACACATAGTAAATTTATGATACTGAATATACTAACAGTATGTTTTATCATTATAGACTTGGTCAAAATATAGGCTCAGGTATCCAATTTGTTACCTACCACTTCTTGGTTGTAAGAACTAGATAAGAGCTATTTAAGCAGTTTCTCATCTTTCAAATGAAAAATAAAGCCTACTATGTATGGCTATAAAGGTTAAATAAGATTATAAATGCAAAAAAACTACTTAGCAAAATGCTAAGTTTCTCCTTATGGAAATAACTCAGCAGCAGTGATTACTGTTACTATTTAAAATTTAAACCATATTGATATAACTCTTTTTAGTCACTAAGGCATAAAAATTGATCCATTTATCTGAACATCATTAGTTAAATAAGCCATCTTTTCCTCAGAAATTTGATATAACACTTATCATGTTTAAAATTCACTGTGTACTTGAGTTCATTTCTGGGTTTCTAATCTTTTCTGTTGATTTTCTCCAGTCCTATGGCATACCCATGGAATGTTTACAGAGGCCTTATTAAAGTTTAATATACCATTTGTTATGGTTTGTATTTAGATGTCCCCCCAAATCCTCATGACCTGGATGGATATTAAGGGACAGAAAGAGGCTGCTGCTGCTTGCTGCCTCCTGCCTGCTCTGCCGTGGATTGTTTCTCTGCGATGCCCTTCCACTAGCTGACTGCACAGTGAAACCTCTACAAACTGTGAGCCAAAATAAACCTTTCCTCCTTTAACGTGTGGTTGTCGGATTTTGTCTCAACAACAAGAAGAGTAATTAAGACACCATTAGATTAGCCTCCTCTTTTTATTACTGTTTCACAATTTTCTTTTTCTAACAAAAGTTCTTAGAAATCAGTTTGTCAGATCTTTTCCACTGTCATATCAAAATGTAGTTAATATCTTAATTGAATCACATTGAAAATAGAGATAAGTTTAGTGAGAGCAAAATTTTATGTATTCTTCCTACCTAAGATTCAGCAGGTTTTCCTGCTTTCTCAATCCTTTTTGTTCCACAAATTCTAAAACTATATAGGCTTTAAGTATTTTTAAGAATTTATATTTCAGTGCTCTTATAAATATCATTTATAAATAATTTGCAATGTTTATGTCTATACTCACATTATTTATTTTATGTTAATTTTAATTTTATTGTAATCTATTACATATATGCAAAAGAATATATGAAAATATCTATGTACAGTTTAAAATACCATAATAACATGGATACTCCCCAGTCTAGACCAATATTCCCACCCCTTTCTGGAGGGGGAACAATCACTATATTATATGTCACGTTAATTCCTTAGCTTTTTTCTTATGGTTTTGACTTACTAGGTCTGAATTTCCAAACAGACTTGTTTCATATTGTTGAACACTGTACAAATGGAATCACTGAATATATTCTTATATAAATGGCTTCTTTTGCATGTTATATAAATGGCTTCTTTTGCATGTTTTTCTTATAATGTATCCATGCTGATTCACATAGCTGTAGATCATTTTCATTACTCTGTACTATTTTATAGTATGAATAATAATTTATCTATTCTAGTGGTGCTGAACCTTTTGGATTATTTCTAGCTTTTAACTATTACTGCAATTTTTATACTCTAAATGTTATTGTACATGTTGCCTGGTACACCTGTATAAGGTGTACTAACCTTAATAGTAGAATTTTATGGACATTCATTTACCTAACAGCTAATAGTTTTCAGCTGATTTTCTTGTTTTTCCCAAATATGCAGTCATACCTTTTACAGATAATCTTGCCTAACTGCATTGGCATGTACATTCACATTAATAGTTTAAAATACTGGGTTTATCTTTGTTAAGAAAAAAATAAGTGTTTGTGTGAATAGAAGAAGGTCAAAAAGAACATAGTGAAAACTGTAGTAATTATTTAGGGAAGTGGTTTTAATGTTTACTTGTTACAGTATTTAGAAATTTTATGAATTTATTTTTAGTAAGACAAATTAGACTCTTACTGGCATGTATTTCAAGGAAATTCTTAAATCTTTGTTAAAATAACAAAGCTAAAAATCACAGATTGTTTTATTTTTACTGTACAGTGGACCCTCAAGTTACAACTGGCCTGACACACAAATAACTTGGGTTAATTAGGTTAATGGAAGATTCATCTCCTTCTTGTTATCTATAGCTTGTACCCAGGTAATCATCCAGATCTCAGCTGTACTGACTTAAAACCAACTTGAGTTATAACTAGCCCTTGGGAACTAATTGAGTTCATAAGTCAAGGGTCCACTGTACTTTTTTGTGATATGAAATACTAGTGAATTCACTTATTTTCTACACAGGTACCAACTTTTAGAGTTTTCAGTCCTGTAATCTAGGTTTCTGAGCATCCTACATTTCTCATTTTATTTATATGTTAATTTTGTATGTGTAAAATAGATATATTTGTTTTATTTTATAAGTATTTAAACCACTGCATATTTAAACATCTAGCATTGAATTTTCTCATTCTTCAGTTTTTATTAATATTTCATTGTACTTTTTTTGGAAAATTGTACTTAGTGATATATTTTGAATCTTTGAATATTCCAGTAAATTGCTTGTTTTTCTACATTAATGTATTTTGATATTTTTTGGGAATCTTAATTTATAAGCCTTCACCAAATGTTTACTTAGTTGGTAGGCCTGGATTTTAAAGCTAGCTGACTGCATGACTTTGTACAAGTTATTTAATCTTGTTAAGTGTTACTACTGTGACTAAAATAATACCTTAAGGATTGTTGTGAGAGTGAAGAAGATAACATAGTCCTAGTCACATAATAAATATTTGGTAATTCTTTGCTGCTGCTGCGATGATGATGATAATTTTATGAGTTTCATTTCTTTCTATTTTATTGTAAACTTAAAAGTATCTATTTCCCCTATTCTTAGTACAGTATTTACTGAATATTTTAAGTTGAATTTTATAATTGAGAAAAAATAAAATTAATTTATTACATAACCAATTTATAATATGGCCTTCCCACCAAAAGAAATTTGTTTAAGCAGTATGAATACATGTTATGTATCTCTTTTCCTTTATAAAACTACATGATGATAATAAAAAATTTAAAAACTCATAACCTTGCAGCAACTAAGTGAAAAGGCATAAGCATATGATAAATTTCAACAAAAATCTAGAAGATAACAGGAAGAATAGTGGTAAGAGCCACCTAAAGCAAAAGATACTGATTTGTAGAATATTCATTCAGGGATTATAGGCAAGAAACATACTGAGCTGTGTGATCTTCAGAGAGGCTAAGGTTGCACCCATACTATTTATAGCAGATGGTTAGGCTGGAATGCAAGCAAATATTCACTCTCTCAAATAGGAGGTTAGATATTTGTTTTTCTGTGCTAGAGAACACTCCTACAGTTTTCTGTCATTTGAATCATACAACTGATAAAAGAATTATAAGATAGTTGAAATACTGTCTTAATCTTAAATAATCTTTATAATCTTAAAATCTTCAGTCTTGAGAAATCAAGATACACGCAGGGTGGGTCAGTTACAAAGGAAATATAATGCAGATGATATGAGAACTAAATATAAATTCATAAAAGAGAAAGAATCATATAATCTTGAAAATAGAGCTTTATAGAATAGCCAGCCCAGATTGGAGTAGGAAATTGATATTTAGCCATTTAACTTACAAATGGTATGTTTCTTTTTATATGTTTTGTTTTTCTTTCTTGTCATAGTTCTTTTTTCTGTTTGTTCTTTTTCTTTGCCACTTATGTTACCTGCTAAATATCTTTTTGCCTGTATTCTCCCTTAGATTTCTTCTTGGAAAGTCTGATTTTTGACCAGATGGCAGTAACATTTGAAGATGTGACTATTACTTTTACTTTGGAGGAGTGGAAATTCCTGGTTCTTCCCAAAAATATCTCTACTGGGAGGTCATGTAGGAAAACTACACAAATGTCATGTCAGTAGGTAAAGTTATAACAACTCACAGGGAACAGTCATCTTTTTCTAGGAGAAGTTTTGTTGATTATTTCAGTTTTTTATCTGCTACTTGTATTCAGGTGGTAGAATAAATATTTTCAAAAATATATTTTAAATCAGATGACAAATACAGTTTGAGTGTTTCTTATCCTAAATATTTTGGATCAGAAGTGTTTCAGATTTTGGAGGGTTTTTTTTAAAATTTGGAATACTTTACTACTTGAGCACCCCTAATCCAAAATCTGAAATTTTTTGAGCATGTCAGCATTCAAAAAGTTGAGATTTCAAAGTTTTGGATTAGGGATGTTTGACCGAAAAAGATACAGTGAAATGTTTTCCAAAACATGTAGACTTATGTAATTACCTAGAAATTAGTTATCTTATGATTTTACCCTTAAAGCCCAGATCTACATACATGGTCAATTTTGTGTGGTCCTAAATTTGTTCTTTTCATATTTTGTTCTATAATAAACTGCTTCAATTTTAATGTCTTAAAATAAACAATATTACTTTTTTATGATTCCTGTTGGCTGATTGGTTCTTCTATCGTAGAGGGATTTGGTTGGGGCTGCATATTAAGATGAACTTAGTTATCCTGACTCACAAGCTGTCTGGCAGTTGGCTCAATATCTGTGGGGATAATAGAGATACATTGACTACATGTCCCTCTTCAAACTAGCTATCCCAGGTGCATTTACATGATGGTGACCATAGGATTTTCAAAAGCAGCAAGAGAGAAGACAGGCACTTCTCAAGTTTCTGCTTGTGACACTTTGCCTATTGTCCCAGTGACAAAATTGGATAGCCAAGCTGAGAGATAGTGTAGAAAGAGAACCCCTAAAAGTAAAAAGTAGAGAGTTAATGAAGCCATTTTACCCCTCCCGATCTTCACACTATTCTAGAGGGGAAAATAGAAACTGTATCTTTTATTTATTATAATAATGTCCAAAATAAAGCAAATAATTAAATTGCAGTGTTTTAGATTATTTCAATGAAAGAATTGGCCTTACTGTCTTATTTCTAATAGTGCCTTGTAACTAGATGCTCAAGATATGTTTGTGGAATGAATTAATGTGTGAATAAATGAATAAATACATCAATTAACAAAATAAATTTCAGGTCCAGTGGAGTAGTTGAAGTCATAACCCTTCACTTCTACTGCATTCTACATATACATTCCTATCATTTTGCAGGTCATTGATTATAGGTAATTGGAAATTTTTAAACACAAACTTTACATCATCACTGAAGTATCTGCTTATTTTTCTAGGATACCTGAATGAGAGCTGCAAACCACGAAATACTCAAATACTTAGAATATGAAAATTTTCCTTGCTGGCAAGGATGGAGGAATGCTGGCATTCAGATATATGAGGCTCAGAACTATAAGGAAACCATGCAAGAGGGAGATCCTTCCCAGTATCAAGAGTTGTTAATTTTTTCCACACAAGCACCAGGCTATGGGAACTATGAACTGACTTGAAGACAAAAACTCCAGTAATTTAAAATACAAAAAGTGTATACCTTGACAGTCCTTAAAAAGAAAAAGTAATTAAGACTATGTTAGAGAAGTCTGTATGAGTGATTCCCATGATTTTCAAGGGGACCAATACCCTTGGTCCTCTTAGTATATGCAAGAAAAATCTCCTCCTGGGAAAAAACAAGCTTGTTGTTCAGCACTCTTATGTCCCAGTGGAGAAAACACTTCCAGAGTACATTGGGGAACTATGGCAAAATAACCTACTGAAAGACTGTATGCAAGAGAAATATTGTGGGTGTAGAAAATGTAACTCACAATATGTTTTTGTAACTCACAATATGTTCTTCACAAGAAAAATCATCTTGGGGAAAAGCTGTATCAATATTCCATCAGCACATCATGCGTCTCGGAGAGATCAGATTTATACAAACATCCAAGAATCCACACAGGGAGGAAACTGTATGGATGTGAAGAAGTTGGCAGTAACTTTAGTCAGAGCTCAGGAGTTCACTTTCATTAGAAAGTCTATGCAGAGGAAACACTTTATATCTGTAATGCATGTAGTAAGAGCTTTAGTTAAATCTCTTGTCTTGACAATCATCAAAGATTCCACACTGAAATGAAACCCAAGGACCTCAGTAGAAAATCATGACTTCACATAGGAGAGAAGCCTTTTAAGTGCAATCAGTGCAGTAAGTGTTTTAGTTGTAGTTCAGTACCTCATATTCATCGGAGAATCCACACAGGAGAAAAACCATAGAAGTGTGATGAGTGTGGTAAGGGCTTCAGTCAGAGCTCAAATCTTCAAATTCATCAATTATTACATGGAGGTGAGAAGTCCTACAAATGTGATGACTGTGGTAAGAGCTTTACCCAGCACTCAAATCTTCAAATTCATCAGAGAATGCACACCAGAGAGAAGCCTTATAAATGTCATGACTGTAGAAAGGACTTTGGTCACAGCTCAGACCTTTGAATTCACCAGAGGGTCCACAGAGAGAAGAAACCCTACACTTGTGAAGGTGGGAAGGGCTTTAGCAAGAGTTCAAAGCTTCACACTCATCAGAGAGTACACACTGGTGAGAAACCCTATAAATGCGAGGAGTGTGGAAAAGGATTCAGTCAGCATTTGCATCTTCTCATTCATCAGAGAGTGCATACTGGAAAAAAACACTATAAATGTGATGATTGTGGAAAAAGCTTTAGTCACAGCTCTAATCTTCACATCTATCCAGGGGTCCTTACAGGAGAGAAGCCTTATCAGAGTGTAAAGTGTGGTAAGGGTTTCAGTTATAGCTCAGCTGTTCAAATTCATCAGAGAATCCATAAGGGAGAACCGACTTACAAATACCATGAATATTATAAGGCATTTGACCAGAATTCACATCTCCACATCATGGAGAGACTTTATGAACCTTGTTCATTTAGTTAATAGCTTTAAACAGATCTTAACCTTTAAACTCAGTAAGTGCTGCTGGAAAAGAAAGTCTATAAAAAACACAAGTAATGCCAAGCAACAATTAAAGTTTCTCCTGACTCCCACGAAGAATAATTTTCTTGAAAAGGAGATCATTAGGAGGATTATTATATATTTAAAATTAAAATATATTTTATGTACTATATGTATTACACATAATCATAAAAATATATAAAAAATTAAGGAGAAAACTCTGCTGCTTTATTCTAATCTTTTTTCCAGTCTATGTTAATGTGCATGAAATGATACAAAGTCTAACTTTGTATTTTCACTGACTTCAAAACATTTAAGTCTTGGTTTGAATGGAGACTGGGTAGCCCTCTTTGAAACATCATCTTTTAACTTCCATGTTGTCTTAGTCACTTGTAACTGAGACAAAATACTCAACACTTGCAACTTAAAGAAGAAGTTTATTTTGGTTCGTGTTTTAGAATTTTCAGACCTTGTGTGGTGGGTGTTGTGGTGGAAAGGCCTGAAGAGAGGAAGGCTGCTTATGGCAGCCAAGAAGCAGAGGGTGACAGGAGAAGCCAGGACAGGAAATGTATCCTTCCAGGGCGTGTCCCAGTGATCTGCCTCTTTTGACTAGACCTCACCTAATAGCAAAATCAGCTGAAACATCTTCATAATCCAGTCATCTAAACACAGGCTTTGGGGGCCATTTTGGATCTAAACTATAACCCCTATGAAGTCCCTAATACACCACTAAAAAAATGGAACACAAAATTTTAAACTAGTAAATAATATTGCTCATATATGGAGGAATTAACCGAGACTGGTGGACTTCAATAGCTTATGCTACAAAAGCCACCTAATAAAAGGAAAACATTGTATGGACCTGTACCTAAGAACATATTAGTGATGTTACTCATATCAATCAGAAAACTCAGAAACCATTCTTCTGTTGCAGAGGTTTGGCACTTGAGGTAACCATAATGCACTTTCACCCCATTCTCCCTAGTTTACCACATTTATTCATAGGCTCAGACATCATAACAAGAAGTAGATTTAGATTCTTCAGGGAGACTATAGACAGCAGTTAATAGTGCCACAAACTGAACATCATTCATTGTTTCAGAATTGGAGATCTAAGCAGTAGAATTTAATCTCAACAGAACAGAATGTTAAAAGAGAAATATCTGGTAGGAACAGAATCGAAAGCTGTGTGCAACAATGAACCCTCAAGCTCATTATGTAAGAAGAGAATTGTCCATTATAAAAATGGAGTAGGGTTAAACTATTGATATACAGTCTACAGCCATACCACCCTGAATGCACCTGATTTTGTAAAACAATATAAAAATATGTTTAGATATTGCTCATCAAGTAAAAAATAAGTAGACTTGTTTAGAGAAATGAGTATTGGTACTGTACCAATACAGTCTTCATTGTGAAGACTGAGCAACAGCCCTAAAACTTAGCTCTCAGGCTTCAGAGGAGATTAAAAAAATTGGTAGTATAACAGAAAACTCAATAAAGCTAAAGTAGAAATTCATAAGAGTAAGATTTCTAAAGAGATACAGAAACAAGAAGGACTTAAAGGAAATTTAAAATGCTGTATCAAAGTAAAAGACAAGGAACAGAATATTGTGAATAAATGAGTTGATCTTCAATACTAGAAACAGTGAAAAAGACATGAAGAAGAGCAAGGTGATCCAACCATTAAGGATTAAGGAAGGTAAAAGGACAATTGGCTGTTGAATGCCCTTGCTGCCAGTAATACCAGATAAAGTACTTGAGAGGATGAGCTACTTAGGAAGCTGAGTCAGGAACATTACAAGTTTAAGGACAGCCTGGGCAACATAGTGAGACCATGTCTCAAAAACTATGCGTGTATGGTATATTGATGAGTGTTAAGGAGAAAAATAAGGAATTGAAAATGTGAGGTTGGTGGTGGGGAAGTTTGTAGTTTTGGGTAGATTGGTCAAGGATGGCCTCACAGGATAATATTCCAGGAAAGACTTAAGGGAGCAAGTGAGCCATGGAGCTATCCAGGAAAAAAATTTCATTCAGAGGGTTCAGCAAGTGCAGTGGCTCTGAGACTAGCAAGAAGTATATCTAGAATGTACCACAGCAAAGTAAGCGAGGAGGAAAACAGAGAATGAGATTAAAGACCTTATAAGTCATTGTAAGGACATTTGATTTTTTTTGAAGTAAAGCCAATGGAGGGTTTTAAGTGACATGATCTAACTTAAATTTTAGTTGTCTCTCTGAATTCTGTGTTAAGAATTGACTGAAGGTGAAGACAAAGAAGGGAGTCTAGTTAGGAAATATTGCAGTACTCCCTAAAAGAGAAAAAGTATGAACAAGGTATCAGTAGAAGTGAGGGAAATGATGAAATTTTGAATTGTTTTTGAGTATGATGAATATACCAGAAGGTGGTTTAAAAACTGAACTTTAGGTAGTGTTTTAATAGGTAAAAAGGAGGCCAACATACTTTATAGATGTGAAAATGTACTTGTGAAAGCTTGAATTTGAGCATGTAGTGTTTAAGGGCAGTGAAATGTTTTTCTGAATTAGTGTTTTCATGTTGAGGTTTTAGCTACTCTGAAAAGACTAGAGTATTTTCATCTGGAGAATATAAAGTTCAAATTGTGTCACGGGAGTAGTCACACCCATCCTTGGGGTGTCAGGATTGGTTTTCCAGAGATAGTGGTTTTAATCTTAGTGGAGAGTCGGGGCGGGGGTGGGGGGGATGAAAAGTATTTCAAGCAAGGTGAACAGTTTTAGCAGTAAATATAACCCAGTAGTTAAGAGCTAGGCTTTCTGAGTTCGGATGAGTGTTTATGAAGACAGCATATTTCTACATAACATCAACAAACTTATAATCATGAGATCAGTCTGAACTGGAAATAATACACATTGTCATCTGAAATTCTGGTAGGAAAAGTATGTCAGGCAGATCCTGCCAGAAATGCCTGTCAAGTTGATAGATCAAATTGTAATATCTACTGAATACTGTACTAGACTATTCAGAAGCTGAAAAACTACATGATCCAATCCAAAAGGTGATACTAAGGTGTGCTGTTCATTTTATGAGAACACAGATCACAGTGACTAGGAAAATTTTACTGGGCATTAAAATCACTTGTCACATGGTGGTGCATGCCTGTAATCCCAGGACTCTGGGAGGCTGAGGTGGGAGAATCACAAGTTTGAGGCCTGGCAAGATAATGGAATTAGCAAGAACCAAAAGATTTTTTAAAAAGGGGGGCCAGGGAGGTAGCTCAGTGTCTTGGGTTCAATCCCTACTACCAATTTATTCATTCATTCATCAAATGAATTAGCATGTTAACATCCTTGAAAATAATTTTTCCGAACATCATGGTATCTGAAAAATCTGAAGAACTCACTGGGGAAGGATCCAGGATATATTTTGTTGATAGTATGGGGTTGGGATAATCATTTGACCTTTCTGAGTTAGTCTTCGCTGCAATAGAAAAGTTGAAATGAGTCCTAAGGCACCCTAAACATTTACCTCTGGAATAGTTCATGCCACATAATAAAGTACTGTATTAATTTTCACAGCACACTGATTCTGAAAGTCTTCTGAGCATTTTAATGTAATATTTTTAAATTATTTTGCCTTTTAGTATATGAGATTTTTTCCTACCTTATTAATGTATATTGCTTATACAGATTAATGGATTTTGGCAGATTTGTACAAACACATAAAATCTTTAAATATTTCCCTCCCTCTATCCTCCTTGCCTTAGTTTCACATTGCGGGGGTTTCCATGTATATAATGCATTTTCATCATATTTCACAATCGCTTTGAGAGAGGTCCCAAGAAGCTCATCCTGTAGTGGGGAAATCACATGGATCAGAAAGGGTCATGATTTTTCAGACACTCCCAGCACTTGGGAGGTTGAAGCAGGATTATGAGTTCCAGGACAGCCTAGACTACATAGTTCAAAGCCATATAAGTGAGACCCTTTCCCACAAAAAAAATCACATGAATCCAATTAGCCACAAGTTCTGATTGATATTGATGAAAAGTGAACATTATCTATGATAAAAGTACCATGTTATGGACAACTTCTTTTAACCATAGCATCCATACACCCTTCTATTTCTTGTAATTCTCTACTTCAAATGTGAGGATATAAAAATAACTCATGGCTGGCCAGTCATACTGTGACAGGTATGAGTGTGTGACCCAAGAATAATGAATTAGAGTCTTTCTCTGGGATTGTTCCACAGACTTTTGAAAGATGCGATTTTTTCCTTCAACTGGGCTAAACTTAGGAGATTTACACATATTTTGGCATGCAGCAATTTTCCTAAATATGTGGAAAGAACCAATTTGTAGAATAAACCCAAGCAGAGATGACACATTGTGAGATGGGGGAGGGGGTGTCTAGTGTTTTAAAATTTCTAATGTGAATCTCTGAGGTTGTACTTCCTGAACACCTCTTTATAATCCCATGAACACCCTTAATATCATTCTTCCCTGTGCCAAGAGTCTTAACTAATATTTTCTGTTTTATTATACCTCAGTTAGAAGATAAATATACCTGCAACATCTATATCTCAAAGTATAATGAACTCATAACTATTATTTAGGGAAAAAGCTAGTAACTAATAGAATTTTTTTAAAAACATGCAGAGACAATTTACTGGAAAATAATTGCAATTGGTTAATAAAGAGTTAATGTACAATTCTAACCATAATTTTTATTTTTAAGTATCTTTATTTTACTATAAACAAGTTACAATAAAGAATTGTGGATTAATGGGAGTGGATACCACACTTTATCAAATAATTGTAGGACTGAAGATTCTAATGGACAATCTAAAAAAAATATTGTGTTCTCACTTAATTCAAAAGGAAACTCATAGACTGAAAGTTAAAGGGTGGAAAACAATACTCCATG